CACTGTTGTCCCGAAGCGTAACAGTGATAACATCCGCATTTGTGTTGACATGCGTCACGTCAACAAAGCTGTGAAGCGCGAACGTCACATCACGCCAACCGTTGATGATCTTGTGTCTGCTTTGAATGGTGCCACAACATTTAGCACTTTGGATCTCAACTCGGGCTACCACCAGCTAGAGCTTGATGAAGAGTCTCGTCCGTACACAGTGTTCTCAACTCATGTCGGACTTTTTCGGTACAAACGACTCAACTTCGGGCTCGCATCTGCATCTGAGATCTTTCAGCACACCATTCAAGCTGTTCTTCAAGACCTACCGGGTGTCTTGAATATAAGTGATGATATTCTTGTGTTCGCGAACAACAAAGCGGACCATGACATTCGCCTCAAAGCTGTACTCGAACGCCTTCGTGAGGTGAACCTGACCTTGAACAAGGACAAATGTGTCTTTGCTGCTGACTGTGTCACATATTTTGGTCACGTTTTCTCATCCAACGGCATTAGCGCTGATCCGAGAAAGATCGAAGCTATCCGAGCGGTACCTGAACCTCGCACCGTGTCCGAAGTCCGCAGTTTCTTAGGCATGGTTAATTACTGTGCCAGGTTCATCCCTGGTCTGGCCTCGATTTCAGCACCTCTTCGCCATCTCACTAAGTCGGATAGTGAATGGGAATGGGGTCTTGCCCAAGCCGACGCCTTCGCTCAGATCAAGCAAAGAGTTTCGCAACAATGCACCATGGCATACTTCAATACGGCCAGCACCACTGAACTTATCGTTGATGCCAGTCCTCATGGTCTGGGAGCACTTCTTGTTCAGCATAACAAGGAGAACACGGTTCCTGTCGCGTTGGCAAGCAGAGCCCTCACAGACGTTGAATCTCGATATTCGCAAACAGAGCGTGAAGCCCTAGCCATCACATGGGCTATTGTCCATTTTCATGTGTATTTGTATGGTGGATCGTTTGTAGTCACAACTGACCATAAGCCGCTAGTATCGCTCTTCAACAACTGTCATGCTAAGCCACCGCTCCGTCTTGAAAGATGGATCCTGAAGCTGCAAGCGTATGACTACACCGTCCAGTATCGTCCTGGTCAGCATAACCCCGCTGACTACCTCTCGCGACATCCTCAGCTATCGGTGATGAGCGTATCCGATGATCAATCCATGGCGGAAGCTCATGTTAGTTTTGTGGCATATCATGCAGTTCCGAAGTCAGTATCAATGTCCGAAATCGCTGAAGCCACAAAACAGGACCCAGTCCTACAGCACGTCATTCGCACCATCAAGAACAACAACTGGCATGACCTTCTTGCGACCTCTACTGAACACCAATCAGAACTCCAGAGCTTGTTCATTATTCGAGAGGAATTGACAGTGGATGACAATTCTCTTCTCCTCCGCGGACATCGCATAGTAGTCCCGCAGTCTCTTCGTAAACGCATCATTGATATTGCACATGAGGGACATCAAGGCATCACAAAGACAAAGAGTCTTATCCGTGAAAAAGTGTGGTTTCCCTCTATTGACAAGATGACAGAGAAAATTGTTCGTGATTGTATCACATGCCAGTCTAACACAATCGAGCATGTCAAAGAGCCTCTGCGCATGTCCCCTCTACCCCAAAAAGCGTGGTCAGAACTTAGCATTGATTTCGCTGATCTCCCGTCAGGTGACCACCTGCTTGTTGTTATGGATGACTATTCTTGTTTCCCCGAGGTTGAAATTGTCTCATCTACTTCAGCTCAGCAAGTCATCCCCAAGCTAGACCGAATTTTCTCAAGTTTCGGCGTTCCTGATATCGTCCGTACGGATAATGGGCCTCCATTCAACAGTCGTGAATTCGCTGACTTTGCCGACTACCTGGGTTTCAAGCACAGAAGGGTAACCCCCAGGTGGCCCCAAGCGAACGGTGAAGTTGAAAGATTTATGAGAACACTGAAGAAAGCCTATCGCTCTGCCATCGCTCAAAACAAATCGTGGAAGCAAGAGCTCTACAGATTTCTTCGCAATTACCGCGCCACGCCGCATACCACGACTGGTGTCCCCCCTGCCACACTCCTGTTTGGCAGACCTGTCCGTACTCGCCTCCCTGAGCCTATAGTTCCCGTCTCCGACATTCAAGAACGAAATTCGGATAATCAACTCCGCTCTCGCGATCGTGGCAAGAAAGCGAAAATGAAAGCGTACGCGGATAGTCACGGTACAACACGCGAGAAGGATATCGATGTAGGAGACACAGTTCTTGTCCGCCGTGATGGTATAGTGTGCAAACATCAGTCCCCGTACCTTTCCACACCATACAAAGTAGTTAGGAAGAAAGGTTCACGAATCACTGTACGTCATGGTAATCACTACATCACGCGAAACGCATCACGTTTCAAGCGTTACACTGGTCCTATTCCCTGTGACCAATCTGCTAACAATGATCAAATTGAAATTGACCTTAGTGATGATAATGCACAAGGACAACAACTTGTTGTGCAACCGCGACGTAATCCTAGACGCAATCGACGACAACCAGCACGGTTGCGCGATTATGTTTAGTTCACAGTCTATTCATTACTCATAAACTAGTCAAAGACAAAGAAAACTGGAGAAATGCACAATATGACTAAATGATGAGACATTGACTCTTAATCTTGCATTTCTTTAAAAAAAAAATTAAAAAAAAAAAAAAACTTTTGATGACAAACTTTTTATTCAGGTTACTGTATGCATTTATGTGTATTTAAACAAATTATTGTTCTAACCTGTCACAATGGAAGTTTGCATAATGTTCATGTGAGTTTGCATTTCTGATCAAGATTCGATCTCAAGGGTGGATTTCATATTATCTTTTTATTCTTTGCTGTTAGTTTAATTATTGCATGTAACTTGATTAATGGCTCAGAGTGTCGTAACTATTGGTTTGAAATTATTTTCCGTGTATAACAGATTTGCATTTACTCAGTATGCTTTGTAAACACTTATAGCTTAATTGTTAAAAAAGAAAAAAAAAAAAACCAATCAAACAAACAAACACAAACTAGAGCCTCCAGAAATCTGGTTCAGTTTTATAAATATCGCTCTTCAATATTACGGAGTTGGAAGTAATTTATAAGGTTTTATAAAGAGCGAATTCCAATTGAATCAGTTTAATTTTCTACGTTCATGCAAAGAAAATATTTTGTACACTTGGCTATTTTTTCAAAAGGGAAAGAAGAAAGGAAAATGTAAAAAGGTGTTATTTGTTGCCATTATATTGTGTTTATGAATGAATATCAGTTTTGCACAGTTTGAAGGTTTGTACATGTGTATTTGCTGATTGCTATGTTTTATAATCTATTATATTTGATATTTGAGTTCATATTGTTCGATGCTATTGCCTCATGCCTACAATGTATGACAGAACAGTTAATTGCATTTTTTATGCTTTATTATACTGAAACATACTTGAGTGCTAAGAACAAGATTTTTATGCTAGCAAACAGTTATTGACATCTGCAGGTCATAGGTAATTTTGATCTGTTGATATGAAAATATATCACTACATAATCAGCTTATTTCAACCATGAATACTTCCTAAAAGCCTAATTTACAACTTTTAGAGTTCACATTTTATTAGATGGTATATGGCTATATGCATAAGCTCTGCATGATCTCACAAAGTGAATTATTTCTTGTTTGAAGTGTATATCTGTAATACTGGCTATCCGTAGCAAGTTTTGTCTTATGCAAGTTAGTTATTTAACCATTACATGTGTACATGAGTTCTATACATGGCTTTGTGCAAATTAGCTGAGTTTGGTTAATGTTCAAGTTTGGTTTTATACTCTAAATGAGTTACAACTTGTTTTGATGTTTTTTCCAAAGTTTGTTCTTACATGGTCTAAAACACATTGATGAATGATTGTTACAGTTTGATGATGTCAAACAAGCCATAGAAATAACAACAGCTACACTGTGATTGACTTATCTCATTATAGAAAGGTTTTAATCCAGGTAGGGAGGATTGTAGTATCTTGAACAACTGCACAATTAGCATTCCATACTTTCTGGTTGTCATTGGTTACTCGTACAAGAACAATGTATAGTGTATTGTAATATGACCTGTACAGAAGTTGAACAGAGAATACACACACGTTATCAACCATGTGATTGAAGGCTGTTGTGTCGTTCTTTCGGCTGTCTAAATAAGGACCAAAACATTACACTATAGATAGTCCATAGGCCCCAGGTTTATAGGGTTGAATTTGTAGATATTGGACATTTAATTTTGTCGGTAATTGGTGGCTGGTTTTGTCGGTAATCGTTGGCCTCTACACCCCCCCACTGAAAAAGGTCTAGCGACGCCCCTGCCCCCTGGTCATTTCCCCGTAGACCCAAATTGCTCAATTTGCAAAGATATCATATTGAAAATAACTAACATTTTATCCCAAAACATCAATTCAAAGGATTTTCGTTGTTTTTAATTATTCTATTTAGTTTTTATGTCTGTTCCTGCTTCTTAATGGTGAACTTAATTCAATTTAATTATATTCAATTTTCTTTTCAGGGCAGCCGTCCCCTTTCACATAATAATGTTGTACATATTAAATACTTGCATGTTTTATGCCATTCTTTAGATTGTCCAATGCATTAAGTTTGCGTGACCTACCTTCGTATTGTGCGTTTGAAATAAATTGAAAAAGACATTCCAATGTCAAATGTCTTAATCGTAAGGGGCACTGAAACGATGTTGTATGGTGGAGGGGCACCAGTCAGTCTAACTCAAAAAACGACAAACGCATTTACATGGCTATACTGATTAGGGAAGGGTACGAGAAGTCGTCCAGGAGTCTACTTTTCTCGTCACTTTAAATTCCCCGTATTCTCTCCTTTTTCACTTTTCCCCTCATTTTTTCACCACTCGACAGGGGGGGGGGGGGGGGGGGGGAGCACGTTCCCCCGTGTCCCCTTAAGCTACGCCACTATTCTTAACATTTCAAAATAAAACAAGTTTCCTCTAATTCCTATACAGTCACGAAGACCAGCCACAAACCTTGTTAGCCGAGGAGGTGGAAGCCGGACAGTGCTACGAACTCGCCCTCACAACCGTCGACGCGCTCTACCGATATCGAATGGGCGACGTCGTGAAGATCGCTGGCTTCCACAATAAGACGCCGCTGTTCGAGTTCCAATACAGGTTGGTAGTGTTGTAGAAACAAACAGACACCAAAAGTCCGAGGATTTGTTTAATAAAACTTTCTTATTACCAACAAGCGCTTAATTATATACCACGTTCACGATTAACAAATTATGTTTACATCCAATCAAACACAGGATTTCAGAAGCTGGACCTAAGCTGAGTGGGGTTTAAGACGTGGGGTAGGGGTATTCTTGAATCTCTGTCACAAAAATCATGGAATCATGGCGCAACAAAGGGGTGTCGCTAGAAATTTAAGGATTTCCTGATTTCTGTCGGCTTTAATTTAAACGCTTGTTTTAAATACAATCACCTTTTAACTAAAAGCCTCGAGTCTTCACTCCCAATCCAAAGCGATCTTGCGACGTCCCTTGTATTGATGCTGGTTTTGAAGATCTCATACACTGCAGTATATACTTTTACTTTGGGCTGTTGTGGGAGTCCGATATGACTACCATCCTAAAAGCAGTATGTGAAAATTACTACTAATTACCAATAATTGCCGTCTAATCAATGATTTACATGAAAAGGTTGTGATGATAAATAATGAAACTTGGAACATAATACGGCATCGCAAAACTATTTTATATCCTATTTTGATATTTAGGACGGGAGAGGTATTGAATGTGAGATCAGAAAAGACACCGGAAGCCTCGGTAGCCGACGCCATCACGGCTACCATGGAGGAATGGAAAGGATTGACGCTCAGCCTGGTGGATTTCACGGCTACAGAAAGCCCTCTCTACGAAGAAGCAATGGGTAGGTTTTTCGTTTGTTTGCCAATTTGAGGTTTGAATCTCAGAAGGTATATAGTTAATGATTTAGTGAGTTGCTCAAGTGTTCAGAGTTTGCATGCACTTGAAATACTAATCTGTCGCAACTATCATCTAAAAAATAAACAATGTTGAACTGTGCCTGTTTATATACCTACAATTACAAATATATTTGTTTAGTTCCCAATTCTTGTTATAACAATTGACTCAAATCGAGAACCGTATGAGCTACTAGTTTATCACTTAACTATAAAAATGAATATAGAAACACACTATTCCTCCACAACACTTTTTTTCTTCTTCGATTTCCGTAATACTTATTACTATTTCGACATCTTCTTTAGATCTCTACTCAGCTGTATAAAGTGCACTAATCTCCCACAAATTCATGTTCAGTCAAATTCATAAAGAATTGCCTAAAACGGTATTCAGTTCTATATGTCTCTCATAATCATCAAGATTCAATTTGGTATATCTATTTCATCATATTTTACATTGAACTTGTGATCATCAGATATCAAAGACTGGAGCCCTTGTGGATACTACTTGATTTTCATTGAACTCGTAGAGCCATTCGCGATGTTCGGGAAAGACCTCAAACAAAGAGAAAAGGTAAGCGATTTTGCGCCCTAAATATATTCGCTTTAAAGGCCCACGGTGCTACTTGTAGCTACTTGCTCCCTCTATATAGAAAACAATGCCTAATCGGTGACCACTGATCCCCCATGATCCTCTTTTTATTATGTTATTTGAGAGCTGAGTTGATGAGATAGCCACCTGTCAGTGACCTTCCTGGGCGGTCTAATCCCTCCTGGCCAAACTAGTTATGTTCATATTTTGTGAACTGACAATCAAAGATAAGCAAGATCCCAGTAGGCCCCTACTGTAGAAAACTAGAAATCGAACATTTTTTTTTTTGGGGGGGGGGGGAGGGGAGGAGGCATGCAAGTCATAAATTTATCTATGAAATGTAGTACACGAACATGAATATATTCATGAGGAAAAAAAGGACGAGTAGATGAACGTTACGATGGTGACGAAAGAACGCAGTGCCGGTGGTGTCTGTGGAAATGGTAAAGGTTTCTTAAGGGTTAAGGAAGGTCTCAAACAAACGAACTACGTGTATAATCAGTGGCAGGAGTTCGATATTGTAGAAGTCTGTCTCTATAGGAATTATGCATTTCGATTTGATGATGATTAAGCAATTCCATGATTTATAGCTGGAGGAAAAAATATAATGAACAAGCTACATAAAACTAGTTTGTAATTTCCTTATTCTTTCGGAGTATCATATTATCATCTTGTTGTGGGCCTTTAATAACTCTTTTTCTCAACAAACACGATCGCAAACATCGCCTCAATGTTAATTTAAATACCCTTTGAATATTCCATATAGACATGCTCGGGTTTATTACGTAATGCATCACTGTATAGGGGCAGACCGAAAGTTCCCACCTTTTTAGTTGGCTAATGAGACGGCTAGTGCAGATTTTTCGAGAGTCTGCGATCGTGTCAACGTTATCCTGCAGAGTTATGAACATTATCATTCATCCATTTCTTTTCTCGTGATTTTCTCGCATCCGCAGTTCGCGGCCGCCTTGGAAGCCAACCTCTGTCTCAAGGCCCATCGCTACAACCACTACCGTAACATCAACGCTATCGCTCCCCTACGACTCGTCTTCCTGGAGTCGGGCGCCATCGACGAGCTCCGTCATTACATCCTGGATCATTCATCGGCTACGAGTCAACAGCTCAAGCTCCCGCACAAACTGCGCAAGACAGAGTGGATCCGTTTGTTATGTAATCGCGAACTTTAACCATGGATATGAGAAATAGTTTATCTGCAGGGCCAGGGCCAGGGGCGGACTGAGCTGAGCTGGGACTGACATTTGATCCTTAATTCCGGTCCACTTGAGTATAAGCTTTTGATCAGCCGGCAGTCAAGCCCAAATATCGAGCCTTCTGTGGGGATAGCTCCCCTAGCTCCCTAAGGCCAGTCCCCCCTGCCTATTTTATCAAAATATTTTTTAAAGGTTACATTCAATCATCGACTGACTAAAAAATTGTAAATAATAATGATAATAATAATCTGTGTTTATATAGCGCTCAACACAGAATACCTTCTCTAAACAAGGCACCGTGACGTAAATGGCGAATGTACAGATCTACACAGTGTAACGAACTTTTCTCCTCTCATCAATGATGGGCAAACTTTCATCACGTGATTTACTTTTGACCAATCGTAGAGCAAGATTCTTAGTACGTGGAATATAATCTCTCTACTGAATAAGTGCCTTACATTTTGGTGCTAGCTCTGCACAAATTTGACGCCAGGCAATATTACATTTCCGAAGAGCTGATCGATATGTCTTCCATTAATTTATTTCCTAACCATCAAAAAGAGTAAATATAACATCATAGTACATGTATTTGATTTTTTAGAAGTTACAACTCTTTCCACATTAATATAAAGTAAATTTCACATTTATGGAAATATATTGGCATGTGTCAAGTATATCATTCATTTCTAAAATTAATATTATTACATTAACACAGATATTTAATAAATGAATATCTGTTTTTTTAATAAATAAAATAGGGGGTTGTTTTTTTAACGTAACCAAAGATAGGAATCAATCCTTCAATATAGGAACATTTGGCAGGTATGATACAGTAATCATGTCAAAGTGAAATTTCCATTTGAAAGTATGAATTATTATTATTAAGTGATTGATTCTGTTTTTGTTGCTTTTGTTAGAAGGTGCACTTCAGTTCGATTACATCAAATTTTTTTTCATAAGATTGCCATAATGAAAGTAACTAATTAATATGTTTGGGGTCAGAAAGAGGAAGGCATTAACTCATCTCACCCATAGTTAACACCCTTCTGGCACTAAAGTGATATGACCATACTTTTGATAAAAAAGTAGTATTCAACAGTTCACCTTGATATCATCAAATACTTCAACACAGCTGTTTATTTGTTATATTTCTTTCTGTAAAATATTCTTTCTCTACTGCATGCTACCCTGTATTATGTGAAACATTATTATATTTGCATGTCATTAGGATTGAGAAGAATATATTTGTTCTTCCCATGAATCAAATATAGTGTCTGACAAAATGTGTATCTAATATCCATATTAAAATCAGATTATGGAAAATGTAATTATCTGTTAAAAAGAAATGATTAAGTGTCATGATTGCCATCTAAAGAAAAATCTCATATTTTATCAACTACAACGATTTTTGTCAACATTAAATGCATGTTTTAACCTATATATATATGTCTATTTATGTACTGGTGTCTTTTTCTATGTCTAGCTGTAACTATCTTTTTATTATTAATCTATATCATGATTTTTAGTAATTATGTTACGTAAGATAAGCAAACTCAATTACACAATAGTATATAAAAGAAAAATAAAGAAAACTAGAAAACAATTTTCTCTCTCTATGAGCTTTATTAATTATGTCGTCATTATGAGTATGTATGATATGTATTTTAAACAACAATTTTATAACATTTCCATCATGTTAAAAAACCTCTAATATTCATGGTAACAAAATGACATGGGATTTCTAAATGGCACTCATGACAATTTGAGTAAAAAGAAAAAAAAGAAAGACAAAAAAAAACACCATTCATTCCTTATGAAAATCGCCAGTCAAACATTTGGGGAAACGGTTTTGGAAGTCTGAAAAAGTTAGTCTTTTACACAGATGTATTTAGTTTTCCTTTAGGTCACAACACTAGTGAAATAAAAGGTTGACAGATTTGCGAATTCGCAGAGAAAAAGTTATCATCAACATGCCTTCTTTAAAAAGGCCCCCACATACAGAAAATACTTCAACTTTTCTTCTTGGTATTTTTAACATTCCTCTTACAGTAGATCATTTAATATTGATCACTAGTGCAAAATTTCACTTTATTTGGTCCTTTAGTTGATATTAATATTTCCTTTCTTTGTAATCCTTAGCAGAAAAAAGTAATGCAACTAATTCACAATGTATTCAACATATTTCTTATATGTTCTCTGTAGTAGACAAGATTATGATACTGCATATTATGAGAGAGAAAAAAAAATAAGAATGATAGCACTGAATATTTGTTTAATTTAGGGAAAAAAAGGGAACTGGAGATTGGTACAGTACATTACTTAGATATTTACGTCACAGAAGTGTTATTATGATCAGTCACACAAAGTCAGATTTTAGCAATTGTCATACAGGAACAGCCCTCAAACTTTCTTTTATATTTTGAGAAATGTTACTCCAAAAAGATTAGTACCCTCATTTAATTTTCGATAAATCGAGTAAATATACATGTAAACACCTCATCTGAACGTTAAAATGTTGCCAAGATCATTGAGTAATAAAACTGTTCCACAAATTTGGAATAAAAAAGTATGATTCCAAGGAATCCCAGTTTAATATCAGGATTTCATTCATAATCTAACATTTGGACATATATTGGCAATAAAATACATGTAGTCTGATTATCAAAAGCACAAGAAGCAATCTGGGCAATCAACGAAAAAAATAAGAATGATAGCACTGAATATTTTACTACCACGACCATCATCATCATCATCATTTGATTTGGGCGCTGCTCTGTGGCGACCGTCACTGGTTATTTTGTTTGTCTTATATTTGTGTAAATTTGTCAATTTTGTGGATCATCTTCTTGTAATTTGTGGCTGTCTGAAAGCACAATGGCGTTTGCACATTCAAGGATAATCATAGTTGTTTTCATTGCGGTTCTGGTGATATCTGTGGAAATACGACCAGGACAAGCAATCGAGACCCGACCACACCCTACCAGTCTTGTGTACTCACGGGATGAGCTGCTAAAGTTACGGGACACTTCAGCGGAAACTCGACCGACCGGCTTTGACGACTTCCCGAAGGAATGTAAACCACGGAAGAGAGGTAGGAAAGGGGGTGTCAGGTCACGTATCAGAAGAAGGGGCAACAAACCACCACTTCCTACAATCATCCTTGGTAATGTTCGCTCCTTACCGAATAAAATGACTGAACTCGAAACCTTATCTAAATACATGCACGAATACAGAGAGGCTTGTTTGATGTGTTTTACCGAAACCTGGCTTAATGAAAATGTACCAGACAGTGCTGTTGAATTGCCTAACTTTTCGTTAATAAGAAGTGATAGAACGACTGCATCGGGAAAATCACGAGGTGGGGGACTGTGTATGTATGTCAATAAGAGATGGTGCACAAACTGGTCAATTAAACATTCAGTGTGTCAGCCAGATATTGAATTACTAGCCGTCGGTCTTCGGCCATTTTACCTTCCCAGAGAATTTCCGCAAATTTTTGTAATCACTACATACATACATCCAAGAGCAGACGTGGCCGTTGCTAGTGACGCTATTGCTGAGAAAGTAAACAATCTTCAGGCATTGTCACCAGACGCGCCAATCTTTATCGCAGGTGACTTCAATCAATGTCGACTAGATAACGTTATGCCTAATTTCGAACAATATATTAACATTCCTTCCAGAAACGACGCTTTTCTTGATCTTTGTTATGGAAACATCCCTCATGCATACACAAGTAAAGCATGTCATCAACTCGGGAATTCCGATCATCTGAATTTTCACCTTGTACCTACCTACAGACAGAAACTAAAGAAAGCGTCCCCAGTTTCTAGGCAACGATACGACTGGTCGGATGACGCATCAGAACGACTGCGAGCTTGTTTAGATTGCACTGACTGGGATGTCCTATTCAATTCCACGGACACGCTTGATGAGGCAACGGAGGTGATCAGCGCATACATCAACTTTTGTGTGGACTTGAACATTCCGCGTAAAACGTCGAAGGTTTTTCAGAATAATAAACCATGGGTTTCAAAAGAACTGAGGGACTTGTTGAAAGCAAAAAACCGGGCACTTGTTGCCGGTGATAATTCAGAAGTAAGAAATCTACAGAAACAAATTAAACGACAGGTTATAGCATCAAAACAGTTGTATAAACGCATACACTCAGTAATAAATCCAACAGGCTAAACCTACTATAGAAGCAGTGACCGGGAATTACAGGCCAACGCCTTCTACCCGTACTTGATGATGATGATAAAGAGAAGATTGAAAGAGGCTTTCAGGAAAACAATCCTAAAGCTGCATGGAAGACCTTACAAGATGTTACAGGTTATAAAAGGAAGTCATCTGTTAATGAGTCTGTAGTGAATCAAACATTTGTTGATAGCCTAAATGATTTTTATTGTCGATTTGACCATAGTGATTTTGCAACGAAGAATGTTGAAACCATGCAAAACCTTAGAGAGAGCCTCACCCGGGATTTTGAAGTAATTACGGTATCTGAACACGAAGTTAGAATGGTGCTAGGTGATGTTAATGTGAATAAAACCCCGGGCCCTGATCGTATTTGCAATAAGCTATTAAAAACGTGCAAGGATCAATTGGCCAGTGTTTTTCAAAAGCTTTTCCAGCTTTCTATCGATCGAGGAACAATTCCTAAATTGTGGAAAATGTCAACTGTTGTACCACTTCCTAAAGTGAAAAACCCATCAGAAATGAATGACTATCGTCCTATAGCTCTAACATGTAGTATTATGAAATGTCTTGAGAAAATTGTACTGAAACGTTTGCTGAATCAAGTCTCCCCCTTCTTAGATCCCATGCAATTTGCTTACAGGAAAAATAGGGGCGTAGAAGATGCAGTTTTGATACTCTTGCACAAACTGTATTCCCACTTAGACACAATGAAAACGTACACGAGATCAGTTTTCATAGATTTCTCTAGCGCATTTAATACCTTGATACCACACCTGCTTACTAGGAAGTTGAGTAATTTAAATGTACACCCACAACTTATAATGACAATACAAGACTTTCTGTTGTGTAGATGTCAGCAGGTGAAAATAGGAAAGCTAATCTCATGTGTTCGTTCTATCAGTACTGGTGTACCTCAGGGATGCGTACTATCCCCGGTGCTCTTTTCCATTTACACCAATGATTTCGTGAGCACTGACGACAATTGTTCTATGATTAAATATGCCGATGATACGGTGATTACAGGGTATATTTCAGATGATAATACTGAACGTTATTTTTCATTGATCAAACAGTTTGTTGAATGGTGTGACAGGCACCACTTACAACTAAATGTAGCAAAAACGAAGGAGATCGTAATAGATTTTCGTAAGAGAACTGTAGTGGATCATGCACCCCTTTGTATTCACGATTCCGTAGTCGAGCAGGTTAGCGAGTACAAATATCTTGGCACTACTATATCATGTAAATTGGATTGGTCAAAAAATGTCAACATTATCCAGAAGAAAGCAAATCAAAGGCTTTATTTCCTTAGACAACTTAAGAAACTCCACATAGATAATACACTTCTTGTTCTGTTCTATAAATCAATCATTCAGTCTATCTTGACATTCAATCTCATTTGTTACTTTCGTAATGGAACACGTGCTAGCAAAAGGAAAACAGAAAGAATAAGGAAAATTGCTCAGCGCATCACCGGTTTGGAATTGCCCAGTTTAGAAAGTATATATGTTGATCGTACATTGCTGAAGATTACTCGTATTATGAAAGACCCGTCACATCCTTTGTTCCATAATTATAATTTCAACCGTTCAGGAATTCGCCTCTGCGTTCCCCGCACTAGGCGGGAACGCTTTAGACGCTCATTTGTACCAGATTCAACTCACATGTTCAACAGTATGGTAAAACGAGGGCAATCAATGTAGACACTGTACCCTTTTTATTTTATTGCTTTCCTCCATTCCTATACAAGTAGTCAGATCTTATTTTTAGATGAAACGCCATTGATGTTATGTTGTTATTATGTTTCATAATCTGTTTAATTTTGTACATTTCCTTGTAACACACAATTGTACCAGTGAACAATGAATTTCCATATTATGGACAATAAATCAATTCAATTCAATTCAATTCAATTCAATTCTATCGCTTCATCTCTAGTTCAGAACATAACTAGATTTCGGGTTTAGAGTAGGACCGAAGGCGTGGGATGAGATCCTAGAAGTATTTTTGAAGCGGTTCTCCCAAAGTCTTCTCAAGCTCAGAGACCACATCCTGGCAATGCTGTTCTACTTCCTCCGACTCATCTGTAAAAAAAAAAAGATAGATAGAAAAGATCGCATCAATTACCAGGAAATACCAAGGTGGGTTTGTACTGCTACAAAAAGTCCCCCATACCACTGTTTTTCATTATCTAACTGTCCTTTTCCCATTCTTAAAGATAAAGTTGAGTTCTGGTCATGCGATTGCATTGTGAAAGAAACGGTGTGAAATCGACCAGAAAAGGTTGATCATCAAGCATATAAGTATTGGTGTGTACTGCAAGGTTCTGGAATTATCAAAATGATAACAAATTTGGCCCAGTCTTGGTGAAGTTACAAGCACTGTACACAGAAAGATGTGTATGGGACTACATGAACATGTGGCATAAAAATCTGTCCCGATTATTATGCTGTTACATGCCATATTTAGAATATTGAGGCATTTGAAGAGCCTTGCTTTTCAGAGAACATTTGTTATCTGATGTTCTTCCACACTTGCATAATGCAATGATAATGCTCACAAATTATTTTTCACCTCTTCCCAGAACTCAACGTATCTATCTATCCTCAATCTATCCTTTCTTTTATAATATTTGTTAATAAATTTATTGCTGTAATCAATATTTCTACTTCACTTACCCTCCATGAGTTCAGCTAAGAATGGAATAGTTTCAGGAAGTAGAGATAGGTAGTCTTCACCCAGCTGAGAATGAACGGCCTGCAGGACTGTGAGGGCAGCATAGCGAACCTGTAAAAGGGATAACATTCTTCAAAGTCATCAATGATTCAATGCAGAGTACAACATTCAGGATAACAAAATTCTCTAATTTTACAATGATTTTTTTTCTCTTCTTCTGATGGATCATTTAATGAGGCATTTCACACACAAAAGAGCTATTTTATCCAATCTTCATGTAAAGCTGATTGTACACAAGACAAAATATACCAGACTAGCTAATTTCTTTTTATAACAATGAAATTCCTTTAATTTTCCATGAACTGAACTAAAATGGACTTTCCAAGCCTTCCCAGATTTCAAAGACAGTTGGAAACCTATCATAATGATGATACAGCCAAACCTGCTTTAGTGACCACCTATCTACAAATACCTCCTGTCTACAACAAGCACTTTTTTTGTTTCCCTTGAAAATGGTTTCTCATTGAAACATGCACTAAAGGAACCCGTCTACAAAGACCACTTTTTGTGTTTCCCTTGGGCGGTCACTGTAGACAGGTTTGACTGTACATGTAGATGGTTGAGAAGCCTCAACGATGGATGCCACCCACCTTTGGAGAGGAGTTTCTGGTCTTGAGAAGGATCTGGTAGTTGAGTGGTTGCCAAGTGGAGGGGTCTTTAGCAGCAACCATGAACTGAACGATGCACGGTGTCAGGTGACTTGTGATGCGGGCCTCGTATATATCATCCCCTCCTTGTGTATTCTCAATCTACAGAATAAAATAGTTGCATGAAATGTGAAAGCAGGGGGGGGGGGGTGTTTCACAAAGATCCCAAGTCGAACTCAACTGTAAATTGTACTTAAACATTTACGCCTCTCTGATCATTATGTAACCTACACAGAGAGAAATATACCTGTACAATGTATATTTATTCATATGTCAAAAGAAATCATCTCCTTCTACTTCATATGCAAATTTTTTGTTTACTGCATGACGCAAACTGAACCTTATCTTCAATACTGATAAGGCTACTCTGGGTAAATAAGACCACATTTAATCATCATTTATTATTTTTTTCATCAAACACACAGAAACAGTTTAATACCTAAATTTTTCATATCCTTACTAAGTTTTGTAATGTATTAAGTATGTGAAAAATTGATTTGTTTCAATTTTTGTTTCTTGAGAATGTGATGTATTAAAGCTTACATCTAAAGTATTTCAACCAGTCCACCTTTTACTCTTGAGTTCAGAAAAACACAACAAGCATCGAATTTACAAGGGGTACAAATAATTTAGTTTTTTACTGTAATTGTGTAAATACCTGATCAACAAGAGGCTGCATAAGCTTCTCAAATCTCTCCTTGCTCACAAAGTCTCCCTTGTCATAATGAAAGCACTTGTGCAGACAATCCAGTGCATACCCCAGCAGACTGGCTGACTTCTCTTTACTCTGGGTGTCCTCCTCAAAGAATGGCTTGTCTGAAAGGAGGAAAAGTGTGGAAGAAAAAGGAATATTCAGGGAACATCCTCTTCGAAGAACACTAAGTCATTATAAGAAATACCTCATCAATTTACTTTGGAGCCAATAAAAAAAAAAACACACACCATCTGACATCCGAAAAGACATTTTCCTTATTTGAGGAGTATAAAGAATATATTAAGGAGGGGGAGGGGGGGGGGGGTATCAATTGAGTATTTCCAAGCAACACTTAATACAAATTGTTCTTTTCAAATAATTCCTTTCCGTTTTTTAAAACATGTATCAGTAACTGTGTCTATAAAATTAAGCAAAGTTGGCTATATTCACAGGACTTTACCTCTTTTCTTTTAAATATTTACATTGAAATACCTTGTATTTCAGAAATCATGATTCCTTTTAATAAAAATAAGCAGCTAATAAAACTTCAAAGATATTTGCGCAATGTTGTCTCTTCTAAATATCTATACCTTAAAGACCGTCAATACTACTGGGCCAGAAGGGATTAGACCACATAGCGAGGTCACTGAGTGGCTATCTCATTAACTCAGCTCTCAACTAACATAAGAAAAAGAGGATCATGGGGGACCAACAGGCACCGATTGACGAAGTTTTCTATATAGAGGGAGCAAGTACCTACAAGTAGGACAGTGGGGCTTTAAACCATACCTACATACTGAATATATTCCATGTAACTCTTTGTAAGACGGGGCGTCTTACAAAGAGTTACGATCGATCCAAATCAATCGTAAGTCTTCCTATCAATCGCAAGTTTGCAGTCCCCTATCTCTTATGTACATAGTTTCGCAAATAAGCTCTTTGTATAAAGCCGGGCCCAGGATTACAGAATTTCTGAGTTCTCCCTTGGAACAAACCTGTTTTAATGACGTTGTTTGCATTCAGGATCCCTGCAATGTTAGCTACAAGGTGACCTGCGAAGAGACAGAAGAGACTCTTAAGCTTCTCAGCGATGCCATCGGAGAGACGGTAGAAGGTCAGCTGTCTGTCAGGGTTGCTGCCTCGCGTAGCCCATTCGTATACCTGCAGAAATAAGAGTAAATGTAGAAGTACTGGTAATGACTAAATTCCAATTCAACACAATTTTAGTCTACCAACCGATCAGATTTTCTTATCTTGAACATTTCTGACAATTAAAAATGCCTCTGAAGTCGTAGCAGCCTGCTGATGCCCCCTGGAAATAATTTCCTCTTACTGAAGTTTTGCCATTTTCCTTTAAAGGACTACTTCGTTTTTTTGACCTGCTTTAAAATGGGTAGTCAGACATAACCAGACATATCCATATATGATGATGAAAGTTATTCTTGATGTACTGTGTAGCAAATGGAAACCTGGTAGGAAGAAGTTTCTTGAATGATCTGAGAGATGTAATGGTGGGACAGTATGATTGCACCATGCGGTTATTAGCAGAATGCAAGAAGCAAATATTATTATCAATAATACTGTTATTTGTGAACATCCCAAAAACACAAATATAAAATTATACGAAAAATGATGTTTTTTTTTCTTCTTTCTATTCTCACCTTGAGAAACATAGGTCTGAATGTAGCCTCTGAGAGTTTCATCACCATGGTATTGACGGCATCAATCACATGCCCTTCAATGGCCGATACCTCGTCCAGAGTACTCTGAAATAAATAAGATAAATCAGATGAACAACAGATTGTGAGTTGATAGAAATCTTTAAAAAATAAATCATGATTTGGTAAACCTGGGTCAGAAAGAACTTGCAAGGAAGAGAAGAATAACGATCGAGTGACCACTGATGTAAGCTGACCTTATCCACTTCTGATCCTGCCTCAATATCTTGGTCCGACCATCAACATGCAACATGTATAGATCTGGGGTCGGTTTCATAAAGCTTTTTGATTTATAACAAATGCTAAATTTCTATGACAAATTTGCTCTCAGCCAATCAGATGCCATGACTTCAGTAGCTTATAACAGTAGCTTGCAACGTGTCATTGATATCAAGTTTTATGAACCAGGGCCTTGTTCATTCTGGGAAATTAAAGCCATCTCAGCAGCAACCAATAGGGATAGAAGTGTTTTGTTTTCAAACAGACTTGCTTGTAGTCCCTCGCAACTGAACAACCCTACAGCGACCAGGCATTTAGAAATATGGCACCAGTTATGAGGAACAGACTTCTCAGTGACATTAGAACTATCAATTGTCTTACTTTAGTTCAAAGGTGAATCAAGCAGTTACTAGGAAACTTAATAATACATGTCTGATCTTTTTTCTGTGTTTTTTGTTAAGATAACACTGAAGTACTGTTATCATATTAAATTGTAGCACCTTGAATGATATTATATCAGAAATTGCACGACAGAAATTCTTGTTATATGTTATTATGATGTTTAACTATCCCTTTCAGTGAAAGTACTGTAACAAGTAAGGCTGATCTTTCAAAAGTAATACAGTTTTAACAACACCAGGTTCAATCACATGAGCCTTTGTCGGCAGTGTGACTCGGTTAAGGATCAGAAGATAAGGCTCAAGAGCACCTCTGGCAATACTTACCTCTGTGTGGCTTGACCGATAGTCCAGTGCTTGTAGGAAGAGACTGACCATAGCATGATGGTGGCTCAAGAGATCCTCCTTGGGTAGCTGGTCAAGATGGTCACTTAAGATGGACATCAGAGGACCGATGCTGGTCTGAAATCAATCAAAAGCAACAATTTTAATTTTTTTAAGAGGCGATTTAAAACTCAAATGTGGTGGTGGTGATGGTGGTGGTTATTTTACCTGGCTACTAAGAAAGCATAAATGCTTGTAAGTAAGCAACCAGACGGCCGACGGCTTTAGGTCCTGTCTGAGGGACCTGGTAATGAGGATTAATGCCTTACCAAAGGGCACTAGTGCATCGACTTGGTTTCAAACCCGGGTCACTGGATTACGAGACCACTGCTCTACCAACTGAGCTATCGCGCCAACCTTAAGTTGTTGATGTGTAAATATGTGTAGGCTTACAGTCTGTTGATATTCTTGTAATATAGGATGTGTTTACAGTTTGATCGCACCAAGCCATACCATATCAAAGAATAATTGGTACTACCATTAGAAACAGAGTATTGTGGAAATTTAGCCCTCAATAATCTCAAATATTCCGGGGAATGAAATGTTAGCTTCTTAAGTGACAAACTGCTTGAAATCATGTTGAATATTTACCCATGATCTTCAAGCGCCTCAGGTATTTTGTGTAAAAGATACGGTGCTTCATACACACCAAGTATTAATACATGTAGGACTGGAACTCTACGTTTTCTTTGACTTTTATTATAAGAACCAATCACATCAGGTTTAAACATTCATACAAGAATTCACCAGACTTACACCTATATTTCAAAATTAATCATTTATGATTGCACCTGTATGCAAGGCTCAATACCAATGAGGAGACTGGCCTTCTAGTGCAGTGCAGCTCTTATCTTACCACATCCCATCAAGAGACGTGATAGCTCAGTGGTAGAGCAGTGGTCCCGTAACCACAAAGTCCTGGGTTCGAAATTAAGTAGAAGCGCTAGTGCCCTTTGGTAAGACATTAATGCTCATTAATCAGGACTTAAAAACATCGGTCCCCTGGTTGCTTATTTACAATCGTGCACAGAATTTATTAGCTGTCAGGTTAAACAAACAAAAAGTAATATAAGATGATGACGAGGATCCTCATCAAATGATTAGTTGAAAGCTTACACGTGACCAGGCATTTATTTTGCCCAATGCGTAATTTGGATAATGACCAGTCATTAGTAAAATCATGTTATAAAACATCATTTTATTTAAAAAAAAAACATAATCTTATAAAACAAATAATACACATAATTTTGTTCGGGCATTGGTAAAATTACCCACACTCGGTGCCTTCAAAACAGTTCAAACACCCTCGGGCGTGCTAGACTGATATAAAGGTACCTTATGTGGGTAATTCTTACTAATGCCCTCCCTGCTGTGTATTATTTATATATTAATGAACCACGAGTGCTTCATCCAATCATGTCTCCCTTATAAGGAAGTCACTTCAGTCCTACCTTGCTAGTTGACACATTGGTCTTGTAGCATTCACTGACGGCAGGAATGAGAACCCTAGGGGGCAGTGCTGAGGAGAGCTGGTGACGACATGCCTTGAGACGGAGCGTGAGCTGAGACTTCTCTTCATCCTGACGGTAACCAGACAGACGACACACCTGGGAAAAAAATAGGGATTGAAAAAGGGAATGACAGCTTTCATTACATGTGAATAATTGGGGTAACCCGAGGACAATTCTATGCTAGGTTCTTATTGCCTTCCACAGGATCAATCTTTATCATGGTTGGCCCCAATACAAAGTCTGCTGTGAAAATTGTTGAGTGTATTTCTCACACAAAATAAATCACAACACTATTTGTGTAGCTTCAACAGTAAAAAAGAACTTTATTAATGAAAAGTGGCAGAGAAAACCTAAAATAAAAAGTATGAGCCTCAGTTTGTGACTCGCCGGAATGCTACGTAGTTAGTGTAAGGTATGTAACTGTGGCACTAATGGGCAACGTATGCATCTTCTTCACTCAACATCATGATTAAACAGAAGTTTAGATTAGATTATTTCAACCCCAGTACAAAGCACCGTGCCTTAGTATATTATACAATTTCATACAAAGGGTTTACAAGACATAATAAACACAACATATAATCTATCATCTCACAAATTACATCATCAAAACACACTATGATTAGGAGCTGCAAAAGAGCTTTACACTCATTCATTACCTGTTGGAGCAATTGACCAAGGTAAGGACTGAGGAAGTGAGGGAGGGTCTCCAAGATCTTCTGAATGGCTGTCACTGTGCTCAGGAGATGAAGGTCAGAACTGAACAAGAGAAATAATAAAATCTAAATTTATTTCTGAATCTAACTTACACCCAATTGCAGCGATCCACACTAACATAATTTGCTTGGTGGTACAGTGCGTAATATAAGGCATCCCTGTGCACAACGCCCCTTGTCTACTTTGTGAAGGCCCTGTCTAATGATCCAAAACGCAATCAGTTGTCTATATGGTGACAGTTTTGAACACAAACATACTTCAATTGCTACATATATATATATATTTCAGAACAGTATGATATGAGGTCCTTTTGTGCAGATAGCAGTAGCTAACCATTTATGTAATTACAAAGTCATTAACTTCAGCTTGATATGAAAAGCTAAAAAGCAACTTTAAAAAATATATACAAAATATTAATTTAGTAATTTTGTGATTGATGTTGATCTGCCACAACTCTTCAAGATATTAAACATGATTTGAATTTGGTATAACAAAAATTTGCCACAAGTAACATATACTTATGACTTGGTGCCCAAGTGGTTATAAGAAAGGCAAATTATTGTATAGTTATGTTTTGATGAGGGACATGTCATGAATCAATAACTGAGAAGGTATTCTGCAGTCAAACAAACCTTGTGACATGGGTCTTGCTTGCCAAGGTATCAAGTAGAGGTGGCATGAATCGACTCAGGTACGGGATAGCATGGGCCTTGAGACTACTCACTGCTTCAGCTAGGCAGAGCAAACCACTTGCTATCACCTGTCATAAAGAAGATGGGGGGGGGGGGGGGATGAAAATCATTTTCATAGATTATCAATGTCTGTAAAGCTAAACATTTTGGCAAAAAAGATATTTACATAAGAAGGAATAGGGTATAATTTTTCACTTCCTTCAAAAACCGATGTTAGAGATTACAGATTCATATTCATATTTGATTGTGTTATGAAGAACTTATTCCACATCCATGATGTAATTCTGTAAGCTACATTGATTTTAATTTTTCCACAGGCAAGAGAAGATCATTCTTTCATCTTCAAATGATAGCTGCTTCAAATCATACGAGGATAACTTGGTTGGGTTATGAAAATAAGTGTTATACCAAAAGCAAATCATATTGAGCTAGTAACAAAGAACTGCTACATTGAACAAGCTACCACATTTCTTATTTGCTGTCTGAAGACTGTATTTGTACATTTCAACAGGAATGAAATAAATGGATGAAACCATCTCACAAAATGACTGATGCATTTCTACCTGGTTATTGCCATGCGTTTCCATGATGATGCCAAGAGCAACATCCATCACCTTGGTGAACTCCTTACGATGTTCACTGCCAAACAGCTTGCAGAGTAACTTCAGACTGTAGAGGGCGGTCTGCCGATTAATGTCGAGCTCATCTGCTTCGGCCTGGTTCTCCCGGGATGATTTGGCTATGGCCACCAGGGTATCCAGCATACCAAGGAGCATAGCAGTCTGTTGGGATGAACAACATATACAATTCACACAGGAAAAAAAAAAAAAAAATTCGGACAAAAGAGGTCAGATACTGGATAATACTTCATTATGACATATACATTTAATGCCTTGATATAAAGTAAAGAAGCCATGGTAATTATTATAATCAGCACTTCTTTATTCTTAGGATTAATGATGCTTGATAAATCTATCCAATATGTACAGTTAAACTACATTACTCATTCCTCATATCAAATTTTGTCAATTTTTTTTTTTCTTTTTCTTCCCAATTTACGTTTCTTGAGGATGTGTCATATTAGCAAACATCTAAAAGTATTAAACAAAAGGCCTTGATTCAACCAGTCCACCTTTCATTAAAAAAACATCAAATTTACAAGGGGCATGAATTTAACCATATTACTTATAGTTTTATATCTCTCATATAAAAAGTAAGTAATAAAAGTGAGTTATTGTAACAAATAATGGATGGTACAATACAACTTAAAAATATAGTATGAAAATATTAATGGTATAATAACGCAAATAACGATATTAGTGGTTGAAATTGAATACCTCTTCCTCTTCAAAGCCATCCTTGTTTTGGATGAGCTTGTTATTGAGCAGCTCCATGGCTTTCCTCCTGACGGTAGGGAGACGGTTGCCTATGAGACCAGACACCACCCCAATGAACACCTTGGCAGGTAGCAGGTAGTTGACCTGGTTATACAAACATTAAAAATAGTTAATTCTATGATCAATATTGATGTGATCTATTACAAGAAGTAAGACAAACGGCAACAGTAGAACTATACACATGTATATATCTACATCACATCATCATACAATTCTATAACAGACACACAGTTGCGAAAAAAAGGTTTTTGAAGATTATCCAAATCATTTTTTTTTTAAATCAAGACTTTGGAATGATCTATCATCTGCAGAGTATATGAGACAGCACTCTTATGGCTTTAGACAGAGGATATCCCCTTTTCTCTTTTCACAATTAAACTGTATCCCATAACCATACCCGCCAACCTTCATAGCAAAAGATATGAATGTCTTAAGGCAAAATTAGGAATACAGTCTATTTTTTATACTTTTCACACACAATATTTCAGAAAAGAGAGGAATCTAGGGTTCAAATAATAGCTTAAAGGCCCCAAAATAGGAATGGTGTGCAGCTATGCATAACTGATCCCCTCCAAACACACATGTTGTCTGCTGAGAGCTAGAAGGGTGTTACATCTTTAAACTCAATTCCTTTCTGGCTCTTGGCATACCGTATTTGCCGGCGTAAAGGCCGCACCGCCGTATAGGCCGCACCCCCAACTTTGACATTTCGTAGAGGAAAAAAAAAAACTACAAAAAAAAAACTACAAAAAAAAAAAAAAAAAACGGACCAAACAAAATGATTGTAATTTTCTTGTAGAACACTCTTTTTTTTTTACAAACTATACCAAATTCATCAATATTCTTATAAATCAACAAGAAGTTAACCTCAAAAATGATCATAATTTAGCAGATCTTCATCGACTTTTAAGCTAGTACTGTATCGTACGCAGATTTGGTATCCTACAATACCCCTTCCTCGATGTGCGGTGTAATCCGAAATAGCATTTTTCGACCTGCGCAGTTGCGTTGCGCGGCAGCTAGCTCCGTAAGTAACGGCCTGTCCCTTTGTTTACTTTTTGACGATGCAATGGTATGGACTTAAATCTAGATCTATCGGCAGATTTTATTAGAAAAATAAGTTTTTCGTCTTCATGTCAACTATGCAACATAAACTTGTCGGTAAGTTGTGTGGAGTTATTCTAGAATTGTCCTGTACCGTTGTCTAGTCATGCTACCGTTCCTATAGTCCCATACGTGCAAATGGACGTGATGTTTTGACCGCTGAATTTTGTTGTTGTTGCGTATACGCTGCACCCCGACTTTTTGATTTTCTCTCACCCGAAAATTCTGCGGCCTTTACGCCGGAAAATACGGTACATGTTCAATTTTGCAATTTCTTTTGTTATGATAATTAACCTTTCCATATCAAACTCTTTGATACATTGTAAAGATGATGCCCTGTTCTTGATGCACCAAAATATGTATGTATGTATCATATGTATGATTGTAATCCATGTCAAATTCAGTCATATTCACACAACTGCGCCAGGAGTGAAATTTTTGACAGACATGGCGCATTATAAACGTTCACTCTTATTATTATTATATGGCTTTGATTATGGACGTTTCTCGATAAAACCTCTCAACAACAACCATTACAACAACAAAAAATTAGAATGGACTGACAAATGTCAAATGTACCTTGTCTAGGACATCATAGGCCTTGTGCAGGAGTGCCCTCCAGAACTTGGCTGTGTTTGGATCAGCGTTGTCCTGGATACAGTGAGCTACATGGGTGATGTAACACAATGTCTGCTCCAGAAGCCTGTTGGGAACATGAACAGAGATCCGACCTTGGTGATGACAGGTGTCAAATGCAGTATCTAAGACTGCTGTTCCTAAAAATCCTGGTTAATCTCCAAATGGCTGCGTTATGTTTTTGTTTTTCTTTGCTTGTAGTGTGTTTTCTTGACTACATCATTTTATACCCCAGTTATAAAATGTTAATTACTGGTCATAAGACCGATGTTCCTAAAACACATGGTTAATCTCCAAAGGGCTGTGATATGTTTTTGTTTTTCGTTGGTTGTAGTGTATTATCTTGACAACTTCGTTTTATACCACAGATATAAAATTTTAATCATTGGTCATAAGACTGCTGTTCCTAGAACTCCATGGTCGTGATATGTTTTTGTTTTTTGTTGCTTGTAGTGTGTTTTCTTGTCTTCACAGCCTTTGGTCTGGTGTATCATGTTATACCACAGTTGTAACATTTCAATCATTGGTTACTACGCACCACCAAAACTTGCCTAGCTTCGTATAGCCTAAGCAGACCTTTTTCTAATATGTTATGAACACAATGCATTCATTAGTGACATTAAAACAGTAGTTCAAAAATCATTTGTGATATTGAAACTTGACAGGCTTAGTCATTAAAAGTGGTTGTATATGTAAGCAAAGTTTCATAACTTTCTTTGACTTAACATCACATATAAATATAGACAAAATACATGACCTCTCTACTCACTTCTGATAAAGGGCTTGCATTGAAGCAGATTTCTCCTCAGAGAGATTGACAAGCTGTAAACATACAAAAAGTAAAACTTGATTTTCTTATAAATAAATCAAATCAATAAATAAATAAGTGAATCATAGTGAGTAATAATTAAGCAGGCAAAGAAATGAAATATGTGCCTGTCATAAACATATAAACTCTATATGCAATAACCGTTAGGAATACAATCCAAAATTATAATAGCAAGAAAGCCATTTATATTTGTTAGCACTTTAATTTTTTTTTCCACCAAAAAAAATCAACTTTTATATTTATAGCTTCAGCAGGTGGATTTGGAAAGATATTGAGAGGAAATAATAAATGTATAATTTCATGGCGGTATGTGGAACATGGTCCTGCGACAATTGCTCCACTGCATTAAATCTCCCACACCAAATAAACTCATAAATGATTTCAACCCTGGATCCAATACTTTACCTAACCCTAAAGTAAAATCAAATTGTGACCCTCTCCCTAACCCTATAGTCTCCCTCCTCCTTTATCTCTGTCCCTTCTCTTACTATGCCATTCATTCTATCTTTCTTCCTTCCTCTCCTAATTTGTATGCCAGGGGTGATAAGACCTCACTACAAGGTCACTGACAGGTGGTTATCTCATCAAATCAGCTCTCAATTAACATACGAAAAAGGGGACCATGGGGGATCAACAGGTACCACTTAGGCATTGTTGGCTATATAGAGGGCGCAAGTATATATAAGTAGTACAGTGGAGGTTTAAATGTTAATAATAAAGTTACCTGAGCAATGAATGGATCACTGGTAAGGAGCTGGGACAAGAACCCTACGGAAGTGAACTTGAAATGTCTCAGCTGCCTAGGACTGTGAGACTCTTGATCAAAGATGAGGTCTTGTGTCTTGCCCTTTGACCCTGGAGTCAATCCTGCTGAACGTGATGACCGGGAATAATGAGATGGCGTCTTGGCGACACCTAGATGGAAAAAGAGTTGAGGCATAGACTTTAAGTCTGTAGCTTTTCATTTTATTTTAAATAAGAAATTTTTTTAAAGTCAATTTCTCTGTGTTTTTTTGTTAGTGTGAGCCTAATGGATACCCACTATGTTTACAGAAATCATCAACATTATCACTGTCTAAACATAATGATCCATTGTTCAACAAATTGTTCTTGTCGCACTTATATTTTGGACAATTATCATCAGCACAGCTGTAAAATCTCTGTGCAAAATGAATATCTGCACCAAAGTCTCAGCTGCGAACATCTTTATCAAAAATACTTTATCACCACCAACAGCATTCTCGCCCTCATCATTGCCATGATGAACAACTATCACCCTCTAAATATAAACACATAAACCTTTACCCAATAGCCATCCTTTCCCCTTTATTCTTCTGTACAAGATTACCTTCTTTCTTCCCTTTGAGCGTTGCTAGGTATCCCAGCATCTTCGTAAGACTGATCACTTGGGTATCAGGATCAAAATGATGACAGAGCGTCAACCAGAACTCAAGATTCCTGCCAGGACCCTGAATTGAGACGAGAATAGGTGAAAAATGCACTTTGAATGTCAAACCTATAAATATTGTAAATATATATATATTTACAGTACTGGACCCTGTCTTACAAAGAGTTACAATTGATCCAAATCAATCGCAAGTCCTCCAATCAATCGCAAGTTTGCAGTCTCCTATATCTTTTGTACATAGTTACGATTGATAGCAATCGTAAATAAGTTGCGATTAATATCAACTCTTTGTAAGACAGGGCCCTGATCTATCAAAAAGAAAGGGGCTTATATGTTCGATTTTAGAATCTAAATGACGATAAGCTTCATCACACCTTTGAGTAAACCCTGTTCAAATTTTAGACAGTCATCATCACTGAACCTTGAATATTCTGGTTTGAACAAATTTGAAAAACAATTCTTCAATGGCCTGAACACTGTAGGTTTCATACTTCCTTGTTCCTTCTTTATCTATCATTATGTGAAATATGAGGTGAGCTAAAAAAAATTCTGTGATTCTAATGAAGCCACCTTGAAAGAATCCCAAAGACAAAGAAGCACCATTTGTTTGACATTGACCAGGGCCCGTTTCATAAAACTGGTATCAATTCCAAATGCTAAACTTGCTCTCGGCCAATCAAATGCAACAATTTCAGTAGCTTACATCAGTTATCGTAACTTGTTTTTGATAACAAGTTTTATGAAAGAGGGCCCAGCAGTCTTTGTATTTCAGGGGAGATCTGCTGGTTTCACATAGGCAGCAAGAAAAGAATCGATAAGCAGAAAGAAATAGAAATTTAAACGAACATTTCAGGAAAACTGGCATGCCAAACCAGACTGTGAATAAACATCTCAATCATACCTTAGTCTCTGTCTCCTCGGGGAGCATGGCCGTAGCTCCTTTGGTCGCATATCCTCCAATCAGCAGCAGGATGACCCTCCAGAGATACTCCATCCCGCCCACAGACTGCACCAGATGGGTAAACAGGGGCAGACGACGGTGCTCCGGGATGTGAGGGAACGCATCCACAAAGGTCTGCATCACCATGGTTACAACATCCTCCAGGTTGCCTGCCAGGGAGGATGGGAGAGACTGGTCCTTGCTTGCCTGTATTAGTTTATGAGAGAATGTGGGATGAAGAAAAACATAGTAAGGTGTTACATGTACATCTCAATGTAATGATTTTGTTTTTATCAATAAGTTTCAATAATTGAGATGCTCTCCTGACATCATTGGTAATTTGGGGCTTCATTGTGTGGTGTGGTGATCACAATGATACATCATAACATTTTAAATTTCCTATGTTAATGGTGATTTCAGCAATATGATCCAATTTGCTCATCAGATTTTGTTTTAATTTTATTGTATCTAGAAAGAAAATCCCTATCTCTTAAATACTAATGTACTCATCCTCACTATCACTATGATATTATCAGTTCAATCATATTCACATGATTGCGATCACCATCTTCACCTCAACATCAATAATACCCTACATTTTCTATTACAGATATCTACCAAAAGTTTGTGGCAAATCTGCACTGGATCATCATCAGAGTTGAGTCTCTTACTCTAATTTTAAGCGATTATAATTTTCTTGATTTATTGTCTCTCACTGTATGGGTTTCCGAAAAGCCCGCTTTCCCATGACCATTTCTGGTCATGCGATTGCATTGTGAAAGAAACTTTGTGGGATCGATCAGAAAAGGTTGATCATCTAGCATATAAGTATTGGTGTGTACTGCAAGAATCTGGAATCAGCAAAATGATAAGAAATTTGGCCCAGTCTTAGTAAAGTTACAAGCAACTGTACACAGAAAGATGTTTATGGGACTATGCGATATCTATCCAGTCCTGATAGATATGATAATTTACCAAATATATCAATTAGTAGGAGGGTTCACGGCAAAATTTGTGTCATCACGTATTAGTCAAAACATATTCTTTCACATGATTGGTAATAAGAGCTTCCATTTCATTTTTTGAGAGGGGGGCATTTCCAAAACTGGTCTATACCTTTAAAATGAGTTGATATCACAAGAAAGATAGTGTGTCTATGCTTACCTTGACCAGAGCAGGTATAACGGTCTGCACTGTCTTGTGGATGATCTGGAAGCTATGACTGTCATCTTGACGCAGTAGGCTCGCTCCCATGAACGTGAAGATTGCCATGATGTTATGCAACACATGCTCCTAAAAAAAAATCAGGAATAGAAATCAAATGAGTTACATATATACTGTTTTGTGTCTCATTAGGTATATATCAGGTAATTAAAATCTCCTCTGAATACACGGTTTATCACTCAATACTGCAATGTTAAAAAAGATGGCCAGTTAAGAAGCAATATGATCATACTGGGTTTCCAATTTAACATATTTGGTGTCTTGTATATTCACTGATTGTAAATACCTCAATGATAGATCAGGGCCATGTTTCATAGAACTTGTAATCAATAATAAATGATAAATTTCTATGACAAATTTTCTCTCATCCAATCAAATGCCAAAATTTCAGCAGCTTGTAACAGTTATTGTAACTTTTTATTTTATGAAACAGGGCCCAATAGTTGTAATATCATCCTATATTCACAATACCACTAGTTGATATGACTTAACCTCTCAGTGAGCAGAACTTTAAATTTCTGAACAATATATCAAACTCAAGTGGAATAGCATGATCTTTATCAAATATACAGTTTTACAAGGTTAACTCTTACAAAGGTAGCCTCTTTAATGCAGATTTTGAGTCCAGCATGTAATGGTTTTTGAGAAAAGGGAAACAATGATGTTAAATAAACTTACAGGGAAGAGTTTGGCAGCAGTAGCCAGTAGAAGCAAAGCATGGTTGTGTGTTTGAGGATTGTCTGAGGTACGAATACACTGCACCACCAACTCAACGCTGAACTGCTCTTCTGTTATAAGCGGCCCTGAAAAATTGCAAAGGATTGAAAAAAGGGGGTATTTCATATTCAATTAAATTAGTACAAGCAGTATGATTACAGGTGAAATTTTCCATGGAATATTAATTTTTTTTTTTTTAAAGTGCAGCCCCAAAACATGTCCACTATTGTTGAAACACAGGATGCATAAAAATGATTAGATCACTGCCTTTATTTTTCCAAATAAGAATTGAGATTATACATCGCACTAATTTGGCCGAAACAGCCACACATGGCAAACAAGTAAAGACTGAGCATGAAATGTACTATACAATCAGAAAATTGCACAAGAGCTAGTAACATCTGGCTCAAGATTAAAATTGTTTCCACGGAGCCAGACAAGCACACAGTAATCTTAGTTTGCATGGCATCGACAGGTCCTGTAGCCCTCAGCAGACAACAAATGTGGAATGTACATTTAAGACTTGTTGATTGATGCCTGAGCTTGTCTTCAAATATACATGAAGACAGCTAAATTATGAAATTGAGGGAAACTAAACAAGCCATAACCAAACAAAAATCAATATTATGTATGATTATTATTTTTTAATTATTTAAACCTACATGTATTTGTGGCTTAAACCCAGTAAATAAGATCGATTAATCGATCTGTTTTGAAAAAAAAGTCAGAACAAATCTTTCTGACTTTTTTTCAGATTATTTCAGACTTGTTTTTCAATACAGATCGATCAATCGATCTTATTTACTGAGTGTTAGCCACAAATATGTTTAAATAATTGAAATTTCTCCCAGGAAGCATTACATTTATAAAAGATTATTATTTTGTCATCACCAAAATGTATCCATATATTGTATCCTATTGATGTTCTTTGTAAACTACTGTATGTCTAAGCCTTTATTTTACATGTGAGTGAAACATATGTCCATATTAAACTTAGTTTGGACAAATAAATACATTTTATGAATTAAATGGTAGTTGCTTTGGTTTGTAATCTTAAAATTTACAATTTCAGACATGAACAAAATACAGTGTAGAGATCATACAGTCAAACCTGCTTTAGTGACCATCTGTCCACAAAGACCGCCTGCCTACAAGGACCACATTTTTTGTTTCCCTTGAAAATAGTTTCTCAATGAAACATGTACTAAAGGAACCTGTCTACAAAGACCACTTTTTGTGTTTCCCTTGGTCGGTCGCTATAGACAGGTTTGACTGTACAGTGAAGAGATCATACCTGCTTCTTCTTCTGCGTCTGTATCGCCCAGATGATCACAGATGTTGAGGATGGTGGTGAGAAGGAGTTGCTTGATGTATTCAGTAGATCCCTGATCAGTGGCGGGTAGCTCAAGGCACCTACAAGCAGCAATGTTAAAAAGAAGAGTATAAATGTAAGAAATGCATGAGAGGTCTTATGCACTTTATTTCCATGACTCTCCATGTCTTTGGAAGATTTGTTGTCATCTTTCCATGACTTTCCAGGGCCCCATTTCACAAGTGACATATGACAGTTTTTGTTATAAGCTAGTGAAATCTTTGCTTCTGATTGGTTATCAGCAGATTTGTCACTGTATTTTGTTATTTGTCATCAGCAGCTACTCTCTCTCTCTCTCTCTCATTCGCAATAATGGCCCCTATAGATAAATTCTGAATGTACAGTCAAACCTGTCTTAGCGGTAAAAGCCACCTGTATGTAGGGGTCACCTCTATTGCTTCTCAAAAGGAAGAAATGTGCGTTGTTGGACCTGTCTAGAAAGGCTACATGTCTGCATAAGCAAGTTTTTCCTGTTTCCCTTGGGTGGTCTTTATAGACAGGTTAGAGGAGGCGCGGTAGCTCAGTTGGTAGAGCAGTCTTATAATCCAGCAACCCGGGTTCGAAACCAAGGCAATGCGCTTGTGCCCTTTTGTAAAGCATTAATCCTCATTACTAGGTCCCTCGGAGAGGACCTAAAGCCGTCGGTCCTCTGGTTGCTTACTACCAAGCATTTATGCTTTCTTAGCAGTCAGGTAAAATAATCACCACTACTACTACTGAATGAATATGCAATAATAACTTACAGGCTGAGGATGGTGAAGAGCGTGGGTACGATAGTATGCCTGCCCTCCATCTTCCCTAGTTTCCTCTGCTGTAGATTCTCCAAGATAGTCATGACCCTCTGCCACACCCGGCCCTCGCTTGTTGCGGCCTGCGACGACGGATCGTCCACATTGGTCGTCTTCTGCTTTTGCCTGAAAATCAAATCAAAGAATGGGGGTTTCGAGAATCATTAACTGTTGACTAATTGCTAACCAGTCTAACCACTTTCATGTGAGAGTTGCAAATCACATCCAAGGATTTGAATGTTGTACCACATGTTAACCCACTACCTACGGGAACCGCAGACCTGCCAACCTGTGGAGTTCAAAAACTGTATTCTTTATTCCCAAAAGTTGTATTTTACTGACAAAAGTTGTATTTTTAAAAATAAACACGGACTCTTACGCGGATGCCTCTTACAGTTCCTACATACAGGAAGAATTTTTGTATGGATCATTGGTTGAATATGCCTGATTTTGTCACGACTGTTGAGTTCGATGAACCAATGAACATCCCCAAATTGCTGATGTGAGATGCTTGTAGGATACTTTACAGGACAGAATGGGCATTTTGCCATTGAAAATGGCACACACACTGATATATATATATATATATATTTTTTTTTTTGAAAATCATATTTTATTAAGGAAAATCGTACTGTCGTATTTGCTTCTAAAAATCATACAAAATATGACTAAATCGTACAGGTTGGCAGGTCTGGAACCGAGTAGTCCCTGTATTAAGCCTATAAGAATTTGAGAATTTAGTAGTCTACGAGTTAAGATTTAAATTAGAGTTAATTTCTTGCTGTTTCAACATTTCATACACAACTTTTATGAACTTCACAATGAAACAGAGAATTAAAATGCTGAATAAAAAATGTTTGTAATATTCAATAATAATTTTGTAAACTAAGTGGAATAGTAGGGGTTGCATAATAGAGTTTAACTTTTTGAATGTGTTTACAAGCTTTTGAAGAATCATACTCTGCATTTATGAATGTTTTCTGTAAAAACTGTCCTACATTTACAAACAAATGGTAACTATGAAATTGACAAATATGAACTATGGGGCAGAAAGATACAGCAAAGTAGGATATAAATTTCATTATACTTGTACCAAAATAAAATGATTGATTTACCTCACTCTTCTGGCATCCTTGACACTCTTCGGTTTCTGACCTGCCGTTATCTGCGTGAGCTCTTTCACAACCTGTGCTGCAGTCAGTGGAAGCTGAATGCCAAACAAAAGTATGCATTTAATTCTTATCACGTGTTTATGTTGCTCAAATTTACTTTGTCTGATTAAACTGAATCAGTATTGCATCATCAGTCTCTTACAAATGAAACAATTTCCTTTTACTACAATACATCTTAAAGCCCCACTGCACTACTTATAGCTACCTGCGCCCTCTAACAAACAAACAATACCTAATCAGTGCCTGTTGGTCCCCCATGATCCTCTTTTTCTTGTGTTGATTGAGAGCTGATTTGATGAGATAACCATCTGTCAGTGACCTTGCAGGGAGGTCTAATCCCCCTGGCCAATCTAGTACAGACAGGCTTTAATACAAGTTTTTCATGTAACACACTCTCTCTCTTAACTTCTAATTCTCTCTTGAATTCTAATTCTTTCTTACTGACCTTCTTAAAAACCTTAGCCAGATGATTAGCTGTAGCTGAATTGTGTGTGTCCACCTGCAGGTCAATCAGTCTGGCCAGTACTGACTGCTGGACATCGGCTGTAGGAAGGGCTGTGAAGAATGCTCCAGTCATCTGCAAAGAAAATGTTGATATTATTCAATGATTTGCAAAAGAGCAATTCTCACTCAAGGTGATTTAGGCAGGCATATTGTCTGACCTTGTACCAAAGGATAATAAGACAATATTAACAACTGATGGAAGATAATTTTGACATGTTATTGCTACAGTACACTGCCCATCTATCCCTGTCAAAGTTCATAATAGTTTAAGATGTTTTAAACAAATGATACAGACCCCCCCCCCCTCAAAAAAAAAAAAACAGAAAAAAGAAATCACATTACATGCAAATGATTTGCAAATGGGTGCAAACAAAATATACACATGCACACAACAAAGGCCCCCTAAAAGTACTCTGTAATCTGTGTGCTGTAATACATCAATTTTTACATGCACTTAGCTGATATCATGTCATGTCTGGATGCGTTTTCAAGAGTAGACTTCAGGGAAACAGGTCTAGCATTAGAAAGGCAACAGAGGAGTCAGTAATTGACCAACACACCTGTTTAAAAGCCATCTCTGATGGAGAAGCCAATCCTCCGCAGACCGGCTTCTCCCGACTCAGCACCTCCAGTAGGAGGTCTAGACTCTTCTGCTCAGACATCAGGTGAGCCGTCTGAGGGGTCAGGTGACTCAGGATACACTGCAAGCTGTGCGTCTGGTCAACACTGAGGGAGCCCTCCTCGACGAAGGCCTGGACTAGGAGGTCTTGGAGAAGGTCCAGAAGCGATGATAGCACAATCTGTAAAGCAGGGAGAAGGGTATTATTATACCGGAAGTCACAACAAATAGTATTGCAGGGAAATCGCGGAGGGGGTTAATTAATAGAAATCCCACCGCTGCCACCATTGTAGCAAAATCATCCCAATCGCTATATATAACTTTTCTCCTGCCACCAGTGTAGCGAAATCATCCCAATCGCTATATATAACTTTTCTCCTGCCACCAGTGTAGCGAAATCATCCCAATCGCTATATATAACTTTTCTCCTGCCACTATTGTAGCGAAAACTATTAATATAGGGAATACAATAAAAACAGGTCTTCTTATTATTTTTATATTTTTGGTGGGGGGGGGGCAGTATTACATGATCAGCATTGATTCAACTACATTTAGAATAAGGAAAAGTAAATCAATGCGGAATAGGTGCTTCCTATCAAAGTAATATACACAACCGCTACAGGTTGATATTCATAAATTCAGAAATAAAGTGAATGGCAACCTCATGGTAATCTTGTACCCTGCACATCTTATACATGATCTTACAACATGCAAAAATATAATCAGATATGTAGTAAACAATCTAACTGTAAAATAAAAATTTCCAAGTAAAATCAGCAACTTACTTCTGAATCTACTAGCTCAATGAGCTCAAGAAGTGATCTCTGTGCATGATGTGGAATGCCCTCTTGCTTCACATAGTCTAGGATCCATTCCAAGCATTGCCTTGCCTGTAAGGCAGAAGCTCCTTTCGCATCAGGTTCTGTTTTCTTCTGCTTTGGGAAAGTGACGTCTGGTACTTTGTTGGCCTTCATGAGGGAGTTCCCAAGAGCCTGAATTCATCAAATTGAAATAATAATAGTCACCACAATACCATCCATTAAATACATGCTCGGCTGACTGAATTTTATGATTGTTTCTAAAGAGAATGGGTATTGCTGCAGTTTCCTTATTTTATGGTCATGAACACTTATGAGAGTCAACATTTGAAACAGTGTACTCTTAGGGAGGCAATATGAGCCTTGCTCATATGAAAATGAAATATTTCATGGATATAATTGCATTTGCAGTTCAGATGCTTGTAACAACAGATATATTGATAGTAAAAAATAAAAGTCAGTTCTTTCTACATTCAAAACAAAATACTGATCAATAAAATGTGGCACTGTGCAATTTTATGTATTACTTAAACAACATTGTTTTCAGTAAGTCTGACCCTCATTAAAAAAATAAATTATTTAAAGTTAAACAACAGCTTAATTCTTTTTCTCCCTTGCACACCTGTTTGATATATCCAGAATCTAGTTCAATAGATTCTGTCTTCTTGCGTAGTCGCTGGATGAGCCAATGGTAGGGGCCGGCACTGTCTCCATGGTAACCATCACTGACAGTCTGCAGGCATCCATTCGTCACAGCTCTCACAGGCTCCAGATGACTGGACAGTGCGATCAGTAGACAAGGTAGAACTGCAAGAAGGTGAGAGGCACACAACAAAAGACGATGAATCAATCTTAATTTGAACACGTACATGTCATGTAATAACGCAATGAAATTGAAAACCTGGGACCCGTCTCACAAAGCCTTTTTTCAATGACAAATGACAAAATCAGTGACAAATCTGCTGATAACCAATCAGAAGCAAGGATTTCACTAGCTTATAACAAAAACTGTCATTTGTCACTGATGACAAGTTTTGTGAAATGGGGCCCTATTCTTCACAACATCCCAGGAATTCAATACAAATTTTCACCATTATTTGTCCACCCTTACGTTACAGTTTATGAATTATGGCAAGCTTCATGAAATGAATGAAACAGCGAGGTCTTCTATATTGTTTGCACATATATAGACAACTACACACAGGTTTGCTAGGAGTAACAAAAACAAAGTAAATGTAGATAGAGAGTGTAGAATATGCTAGATGTTTTGCTTCACTAATAAAATTATAGTCATTTCTATAGCACCGTCTATCTATAAATTCTATTCTGAGGCACATTGATTATTACCCCGGCTTTAGCCTAGCTGCCATTACAGCGCTCTAGCATTTCAAGGAATTAATTCCTGCCAGTACCCATTTACCTCACCAGGTCGAGTGTGGCAAATGAAGATAGGACATTTCACTTTCTTAAGCCCCCTGTAACTCCAAATAACTTTGTTAGGTTAGAAAACAGTAAGGATTGTATTAAGAGACACGTTCCCGTAGTCCCAGCATTAATGACACACTGCTCTTGCAAAAGAGTAGCCTGCTTCTTCTTTTATATCTACAAGTTCACACATGACAGTACAAGAAAAGAAATTTTACTATTAACTTACCAAAACTCTCCTTCCCCAAAAGAGAATGGAGTTCGTCTTCCTCCATGGAGCCAAAGATAGCGGAAGCCATGTTGAGACATCGCACTTGAAACAGCGGAGAAGGCTTGAATCCCATTGGCTGAGAGGGTGTCACATGACCGATCCATCCAATGCTGAGCAGCTTGAGGAAACTTGTGGAATCTTTGAACAGATTCTGTAATGAATCAAATGGAAACCAGTGGAATCACATTGGGATAAAAGGTAATAAAACAACTTGAGATATTAATCAATACACGCATTGTCACTCTTGCCATGTTCCATTTGTATATTTTGCAGATAACTACAATAATAATTTTGTTAACCCTGGAAAGCCTCATCAGCATTAATGCTGTTCTACATCAGGGCCCTTACAAAGGAATCAACAGCTACACTGCACCAAGCTTATGAAAGAAATTTTTTAATTTACAAATATCATTTCCATAGTCAAGTATTTTTTCTGAGAATTGTATTACACAGAATATAATGACAAGAATGACGTATTTTGCAATTATCATTGGATAAAAAATGAAAAAGAATTTAATTTGTATGTCAGTGTGCTAGCATTCCTCCACAAAATGAAAATATTATTCATATAGAGAAATGGTCAATAATTATTAGATAACTATACCTTGATGACACTGTGTATAATACTCCTAAATCCTTGCCTGGTCTTGTCCTTCAGATGACACTCAGATGACCCTCGGGTCAAGAGGTCAACAAGCTGGAGCATAAAGGTCACAAACTGACCTCCGACATGACCTGCCTCTGTTCCAGGGACCCACCATTTTGAATCTGTAAAAAAATAGTTTCATAAGATTCCTAGGTACATATTACATGTTATTTCCTTGCATTCCTAGGTGACTAAATATACTAGTGAGTAGCTCACTCCACATCGAATAAACAAATTCTTGGCTGATATCGGTGACATTATTTAAACAGAGTGCTGGTAAAGCAAAAAGTAAGTTCAATGCCTTGCAAAAGGGCACAAACTCATCAACTTGATTTTGAAATAGTAACAACACAACTGCATTAACAACAAAAAAGATTAAAGTACCTTAAAATACATTCTACCCCTCGATCATAAGGTCTAACAATCTTATCAGCTCATGAAAATATGCTAAATAACAACATTTCCTAGATACTCACCAGGTGTTAGGGATGACACGGATGGTGCAAGAGAGAGCACCATGCTTTCCAGTGCCCATACCATGGTCTGTACCTGGGATGAATGAAGGTATACCGTGCCAGCTACACGGTGCTTTCTCTTCAGTGTTAGCAGGGCTGACAGGTGAGTGTGTAGCTGGGGAGGGAGACCTGTAGATGGAACACCTGTTGCCTGGAGGGGGCCATCTTGCTCTCCTCCATTCTCCCCCTGTGAGTTTTACAAATTGTCAGTGAAGATAAGAATATTAAAAGCCTTTTTCTTTTGTGTATTCATCTCTTGCAAAATGCTGTGATATTTTCTTAATTAGTTCCATGAACTCACATAAAGGAAAAATGAGGAGACATATAACAATTGGTTATAGCTTCCTCCACCTAATCATTCTTCCCCCCCCCCTTCTTTAACAACAATCAATGGCAGAATAACAATAACAAGTCAGATTGATACTTGCAAAATAATTATACAAACACACACACACACCTTTGAGCCATTTTCATTTATCTGTATTTACCTGGTAATAAAAGAACAAGTCGTCTACTTGGAGTAAAAAGGACTTTAAAGCATATATACTTTAACACAGAGTTAATGCCCTTCTGGCTCTGATCTAACAATGTATGAATGAATTATTCAATTATTAGTCAATCCTTCATTTATGAAAATTTACTTCTTTTTAAAATTGTAAATATAAAGTGTTACAAGTAGTAACACCATACGACATACCTGCTCCATCCTGATTAGTTCAATGTTCTTATGACAAGTCTTCAATGTATCTACTTCCAGCACTGCAAGAAGTTTCCTGGCCATGTAGAGCTTGGATTCATTGTCATGAATGTGTTGCAGGGCTCGTAGGAGGACGGTGGTTACAATCAGCCTGTAAGCCTCAGGTTTGGATGTGGCGTCCAGATGAGAGAGCAGAGATGAAACCTGGGCAAAGGCAACAGTTTATTCAATAAGCCAACAGGAAATTGAACCTTCCGTATTCATTTTTTTTGATCAACAAATCAAAGTCTTAACAGTGATAGAAAAACTATATGGACCTGGGGATGTCCAAGAAATTGTATGATGTAAATATTGGCTTATCAAGTATTATTTCAAATAAAAGAAAGTGTAACATACATAGTACATGTGTGCAATAAAAGATGATGGAAGCAAAACACAATTTGCTACATATCCCAAGATATGAAGGTTTGACAACTTACACTATGAGTTCTTTCTTGATGACAAAAGCTTTCATTTTGCTAAGATGTGTTTTGAAAAGGAAATCAATTTTTTATTGGAGAAGATACCGTAAAACTAAAATCTTGTTTGAACACCAGTCTTCCTACTCAAGCATGTCACCAATTGACCTGCAAGGAAACATCTTAATTCATCAATCAAAAATAAATATTTTGACCTCTTAAAAGCCTCTCTGCACTAGTTTGGCCATGAGTAATTAGACCTCCCTGCATGGTCACTGACAGGTGGTTATCTCATCAAATCAGCTCTCAATTAACATAAGAAAAAGGTGATCATGGGGGACCAACGGGTACCGCTTAGGCATTGTTTGCTATATAGAGGGCGCAAGTAGCTACAAGTAGTGCAGTCCCGCTTTAAGAGTGTGGATGCAATCTTGATCCTGTAAAGGCTAAGAGTGGGATGAGACTTTCATGAAAAGACACTCACCATCTTGTCCATATCTTCTTGCTTCATGGCAGCCATGTTCTTGCCCAAAAGATCTAAAATCTTGGTGGTTGTCTGCCTTTCATTCGCTGTTTTTTTGGATGACAAGGCTATGGGATATGGGAATAAGAAAGAACAATCTTATAAAACGGTGCCATTGATTAAATATTGGGATCATATCATACATTACAATCATTTTTTTTTTTTTTTTAAACATTCAGATTATACTATCTCCTATTTGAAAAATAAATCTTACTCCTCTTAAACCATCAAAAGGGAATTTGTTCTTCCAATGGATTTTTCTTGTTTAAATTTCCAGCTTTTAGTGTCTCTTTGGGGTCAATATAATACTTAATCAAAGATACATTCATGTATTCTAACTTCTTAAATGTCTATATGGTGATTATCATTTCTATTCTGCTAAATTCTTTCAAATTTTCTTTCAAAATCCAGAGTAAAATCCGTAGTATGGATACTAATATCAATATCCATTAGCATCAACCACTGTCTGTAATGCAAGACGAATGGCAACAAATCAAAATGATCACAAATTCAAAGCCCCTCTGCACTAGTTTGGCCAGGAGGGATTAGACCTCCCTGAATGGTCACTGACAGGTGGTTATCTCATTAAATCAGCTCTCAATTAACATAAGAAAAAGGGGACCATGGGGGACCAGCTGTCACCGATTAGGCATTGTTTGATATATAGCGATCCCAAGCAGCTATAAATAGTGCAGTGGGGCTTTAACACAAATACAAAGTCTATATTTATCCACAGAAAGAAATAACAATGTGTATAATTGTAACTCACCAGATTTTAAGCCTTTCATTAGTGGATGACTAGTGACCATGTGGGATCTAGCAATTGCAGCTCGAAGCTCCAACTCCAAGCTAGAGTTTGCTTGGGTGGTTAGGAAGATGTGTGGTATCGTCATGGCAACCGCATCATCTACCAGGTGAGGGGCCTTGGAGATGAAGGTTTGGCTGGTGATGATCTTGATTGCTCCTTTGACCATGTTGCCCCTAATAATAAAAATGATGATAAATCCATCTATATAACACTCGTACACACATTAAACAGTTTCCCATCAATTTACAGACATTAATCAAATCAGCTTAAAGCCCGCCTGTACTCGTTTGGCCGGGGGATTAGAGCACCCAGCATGGTCATTGACAGGTTGCTATCTCATCAACTCATCTCTCAATTTACATAAGAAAACTAGATGGAACTTCGACTGCGCGCAATCGAAAATGATGCCTCCGTCATAGAGCAATTTTACAAACCAAAACAGAAGAAATTTTTCGAATTCAAGTTCAATTGTAATCCATTAACAGGTTCTCAGAATATTGTGATTACAAGCTATTTTTGCATACATAATGAGCCCATGACCTTTGACCTTGTGACCCCTACATCTAATCAGTTCATCGGCTCTGCAAGTAACATACATGACCTAAGTTTGGCAGCAATCCATCAATCGGTTCTTCAGATAACGCGATCACAAGCTCGTTTTGCATACATAATGAGCCCTGTGGCCTTTGACCTTTGACATCGTGACCTCAAAATCTAATCAGTTTTTCAGCTTTGCAAGTAACATACATGACCTAAGTTTGGCAGCAATCCATCAATCGGTTCTTCAGATAACGCGATCACGAGCTCGTTTGCATACATAACGAGCCCTGTGACCTTTGACCTTTGACCTCGTGACCCCAAAATCTAATCAGTTCATCGGCTCTACTAGATACATACATGACCAAAGTTTGGCAGGAATCCATCAACCAGTTCTTCAGATAACGCGATCACGAGCTCGTTTTGCATACATAATGAGCCCTGTGACCTTTGACCTTTGACCTCGTAACCCCAAAATCTAATCAGTTCATCGGCTCTACAAGATACATACATGACTAAACTTTGGCAGGAATCCATCAACCAGTTCTTCAGATAACGCGATCACGAGAACGGGACGTACATATGTACAGACGTACGTACGTACGTACGGACGGACAACCCGAAAACATAATGCCTCCGGCTACTTCGTAACGGAGGCATAAAGATGATCATGGGGGACCAACGGGCACTGCTTAGTCATTGTTTTCTACATAGAGGGAGCAAGTAGCTACAAGTAGTACAGTGGGGTTTTAAATTAACAGAAATTCATGATCATCGTTGCGTAGATGAATTTTGAGAACCTGGTTATAAACATCCAATGAAGAAGAAATGTAGAATGAAGAAACAGATATAATGATTTTTCATTTCATTCTCATCTGAAGTCTCTAAAAGAGTCATAAGAAATCAGAGAAAAGACTTGTATCAAGAAATCCAACCTTTTCTTCAAAGAATCCTTATCCTTTGATTGTCTGTATACAAAGCATCACAGAAAGGCATCATTGTACTGCGATAGAGAAGAGAAACATGTTTGGAATCCTACACCTGAGTTGATGTCATATGAATTTTTACTTACCAATCATCACCATGCCTCTTCTTCCTTTTGTTGAGGAGTTTCTGGAGAGCTGCTAACACTGGATCCGCAGGGAGCAACTCACAAAGGCACTGAAATAGAAAGCAATGATAATAATCTATGACTAGGTGTAAAACATGCACTACATACAGCAATGATTCAAAACTTGTATCACAACATTTAAACAAAAATTATATTCAATATTTATATCCTATTTGGTCATTTGTTTGTCACTGGTATATTTTTACAAAGAATGATTTACAAATAAAGTCAAACCTTCAATAACAAGCACCTGTATAATAAGACCACCTGTCTGTATAGACAGCACTTCTAATTTCTCAAGATTGATTTACATTGACAAATATATGAAGGAACCACTTTTCGTTGCTTCTCTTGGGTGGTTTTTAGTTACATATATATACAGGTTTTACTGAGGAAATTAATCACAACAATTATTTATTATTATTTGCTCAAACATTTACAACATAAAAGAATGATAACTAATATACTAGAAGCTGATCTTATTCAAGCAGGATGAGTTAGAAGCAGATCAGATGGGGAGTAAAAGAAGTCTAACAGTGATAAGAGGAGTGCATAAGTACCACAGAGGTAGAGGAAAGAGGAGGATATAAGAAATCAGAGGTAGGGAAAGGAAGAGAGTCACATGGTGCATACCGAAGTTGAAATTGTAAGCCTTTTCTGAAGAGAAGTTTGAAGTTTGAGTTTCTTTCTTACCTCATCAATCTGCAGGACAGCACCTACTACAGAGAGGGAATCATCTTGTAGTCTCTGAAGCAGACTCTCCTGGAAAAATGGCTCTAACTCTCCTCCCTTTGAGAGAGAGAGAGAGAGAGAGAGAGAGAGAGAGAGAGAGGGGGGGGGGGGGGGGGGAGGAATTAAACAAAAACTTGAAAACAGCATATATGACTACATGTTTATTGAATACTGATTATATTAGGCTAATGATTATCTTGAATAGCATTAACATTCAAGTTTATGTGGTTTAATTTTTTATTTTTTTTAACAATATCACAAAATAAAAAAAATATATGGTGAAGAGCCCACTTCAGGGGTATTTACATAATGCCACTGTTCTTGCATGGAGTACTGTAACTATTGACTAATACTAATATCATTGTAAAATATATTTGTAGGCGTACAATGGGTACCCAGAAGAATGAAATTCCTTGCATGCTTGAGCGCCTTTTCATTGTAACTTTTCATGGTAACTTTGCTAAAGATAGGAGAACAGTATTAATACTGATGAGGCTACCCTGGGTAAACAAGACATATTATTATTATTGTCATTTAAAAATTATCATTACATTATCATTAAATATTCATAATGATCCTCAAACTTTCCTCAAATGTATTGCTTAGAATCCTTTATACATGTGGATTGCATATTTTCTAGATGAAGAGTATCCCAAAGATATAGTGTCAGAATACAAAAATCTCACAACAAGAGAACAGTCTCAAAATGAATAACTGGTATCAACCACTTGACTGTGGACCACGTACATGTACGTGGTCTCGCTCTCGCATGCCTGTGAATACCACGTACATGTACATGCTTAGGGCATTGCACTTTCAAGACCGTAGCACTGCACACTGCCTAACCCTAAGTTGTGTAATGAGCACTGCAATGTTATACAGGTCTTGAACAGTAGATGGCGCTCTTTCAAAAAAAAGCTGGCCTTTTCGTATACAGCGTACATTTTTTGAACAGTACAAAAATGCTGTAGCACAGGGGTTATAAACGCGTTTTAAGCCGATAGCATTCAAGTGGTTTAAAGACAGCTACATACCTGTTGAATGAGATTGTGGATGTGATTGACGGCCATTCTTCTCACATCTGGATTGGCATGGTTGAGACTCAATACCAGGCTTGTGTTAGCTTCAGGGAGAAGCTGGCAAGAGATTGAAAATGAAATGTTAAATCATACTGCTTATTGAAATGCTATCAAAATTTAAATCTTTTTTGCTGTGATTTTTTCATAAGGGGACTATCTTTACATTATACCCTCGATTCCATGTTTGACGATTTGCATCTGTGCAGTATTTCTGATTTATATGTGTATATGCTTTTATTGAAATTAAATAAAATAAAATTTGACTTTGAACACTCAAATGAAAAAGACAATAGATCCAAAGTATACTAAACAATAGAGAAAGATAAAAACAAGAGAAATTGAAATATTAAAAATGACTTAAAATTAATTTAAAATTGAGAGGAAATAAAACAGACAGGTAAGAAGAATTCTCAAAATCTCTCCACATAAAAAAAAACCTTTGAAAGCCATCATCAGCAAAACTGAATGCGACATCAAAATCAAATGTATGAACAAACCATACAATAAAAACGACCACCATGATAAAGAGAGCTGAATTTGTGCCCTTTTTCTTTTGAGAATTGCCATTGGTCCTAAAGAATCTGAAAGTCCCATGAATCTAAAACTTTCCCATCTCATACGTATTGCGTGACATCAACGAGAAGAAAAAAACATGAGATATTTTAAAGAGTACATCAGCAAATAAATAAAAAAAGAATTACCTGATGTTTCATGCCTCCTGAATACATAGAGACAAAATCCTGGACATACTGCTGCTTATCTTGATCCTCAACCTCCGCTAGGTAAGACTCAAGAATCAAATCCATTGCTTCAGGAAACCTAGAATTAAAGGCAAAGAAAAAGTAGGATTGAAAAGGTAGTGAACTAAGTTTATGATCACTGATACAAGGTTGAGCAATTTTGAAACAAATTGTATTTATACATGGGTAGATGTGTTGTGGCCTAGTGGATAAGTCACCAAACTGGGAACCACAAGGTACAGGGTTCGAATCCCTGCCAAAATATTATCATGCTGATATTAATTAAAATTTGCCACAATCAACAAGTAAGGTTAATGGGCACCTAGTATTGAAGATGATTCCTTGAAATCCACTGTGTGCTGATGACGGTGGCTGAACCTCAAGCGAAGGCAATAATTTCCATAACTCTTTGGGACTGCAAATGTATGTTATATCATAAGGTGATATACTGTGCACAAGAACAGAATATTATTATGAACACAAACTTTATATTACCTCCTTTCCAAGCTCTGCACTACAGGGGCGATCTTCTCTCTGAGGTCTCTCCTGCGTTCGTCATCGAGGCCATCGGTACATGCAGACACATACCCATGGAGAAGACACCTATTAACCCAATGGGGAAATATAGAAATGTTGAAATAATGATGAAATAAAACAAACGACAAAAATAGATTTTATAGAAGACATTTCTCTGAATGATTTTTATATCTGTTTGACCGTTCCTACTCTGACCCTTTCACACCATCTAACCGCTTTTCCTCTCCCCTCCATCCCTCCCACTTCTCTTCTCTTCTCTTTCCTTTTCTTCCACTTTGCTTTATTATTAATAGTGGCTCTTAACAAATAGGTTCTTAGAATTTTTTTTACTTCAAATGGTCCTGCCCTTGTCAGCCCGAAATCTCATGACAGAGAATAACCCTAATGACTTGCCAAACACAAAGACGTAATTACATCTACAATAGATTTCAAACAAATAATACCAACTACATGTACATGGAAATTTTCATTTCAAAATGCATTTTCATCACCTTGCAGTGTCAACCACAATGTGGCTCTCAACATGGATCTCTCTCAGAATTCCAGTCAGGGAGGCTATCAGATCCAGCTCCTTGCACCCCTCTGGAAATTCAATGTCCTCACTGACTTCTGCATTGATAGCTGCGGTAGTCAGGTGAGGGAGCAGGGCAGCGAGCAGAGGGGTGATGTTGTGTGACTTAGACAGCTGGGCGAGGGAGATCAAGACCTTCGGCAAGGCACAGATCTGGAACATCACTCTGAAAGAGATTACACATTGTGAACGATATATCAGACCAAGCCATTGGACGATGTACAGAAATTTCCTCTTCAATCAACTGAAATTTCAATTACATTGCCAGATTATCTATGTAATATACACATTTTTTTATACTGTTGCATTATTAAAGCCATCCTTTTCCTTTAAAATGTCCTGAAGAAAGATTGGGGCATTTGAAATCGATATACAAATGACAATTATCTTCAGTACAAATCGTTTGCTTTCATGTCTCTCTACACTCATGGTGTACTTAATACTCCTTGAATTAAGGGTTACCTTTAAAAAATAAAAATAAAATTATATTACCAATTTAGTTGCAAATATGTTTACTCTGCATAAAATATAGATATTTATTCCAAATGGTTATTAAAAGATAAATTACATAACATCTCTCCACTTACTTTCCAGGAAGCTGTTTGATGTTCTGAGTCCTACACAACACTGCTAAGCACCCTAACATCTGCTGGATCATCTCAGCATTCACATGCTAAAAGAGAAAAATAAATGTCTAAAATTAACAAAAAGAGAAGTTCTCTGTCTTTTATCACGGTTTGCTTATTCCCATGACTCCACATTACAAACAACTATAAGGGGATTGTTTTGGGCAAGAGTTAAATAATTAATGTTTTCATTTAACCTTGGGGGCCATTGTGTATAAAGTCATGGTAACAAAGCTGCTCTCCTCCCCCGTCTCTCTCTCTCACAAGGTGCAACTGTAAGCCTACTGTATATCTACATCACCATGCAAGCCCGAACTTATCAGCAGCATCTAAAAGCTGACATTTGTATTAAAGCTCACATAGATAAAGGTAGCAGAGTCGGGAGGCGTTATACAAATTAGTTTTCACCCGTATTGGAACAAATGGTTTTAAAAATCTTTCTTTTATTGACGAACAACTGGTACCACAAACAAACCAATTGCGATGCTGCTATCTCATGAAAATTCAAAGTAGTCCAATAGTTGATTTTTATAACAATTGATGGGCAAGTTTCATCAATAAATAGGCTTCAAACTGAGTAGTAAGCTGATACACATATTTGTTGGTTTTGTCTGGAAGATATTTATGCTGAATGAACATCTAACAAAATAAAATGGCCACTTCATGTCTACTCATATCTTGTTCAAATATCAACCTAACAGTGGCAGACTTTATAAAGAGCCTGTTACCCACCTGGCACATGGCTTCCATGAGTGGCTCCAGGAGCGTGTTCTTGAGCATGGCAGACACACCGAGCTGGCAGACGATCATGTAGGTAGCACCATTATAATCCAGGTAGTCCAGCTTCAGACCTCGTAGGAGGAATGGGAGGATGGAGGCCAAGAAGACTTCCTTGATCGCCCCCGGCGACGAGATGGCCGAGACGACGGTGGCAGCATAGAAGGTGAACATGACGCGGAGAGGAGCGTTGGAGGGTGGGTTAGGGGAACCCCCGGGTAGGACAGTCTTCTTGTGAGCCTAAAATGGAAAGAATATACATAGAGTAAATAAAGTGGTGATACCATGTAACACGATGGACAATAAAGATGAACCTTATGAACCTTATATGTAAAAGATGAAGAATTTTTTTTAGTATTGTAATTGTCAAAGGCAATAGCAGTGTGGCACATCCCACAGTGTAGCTTCAAATGGGTATAAAAATGATTAAACAGTCAACCCTTCGACAATCATCCCTAAACCAACGAATGAGGTGATACTCATGGCTGTGTATAATATATACTCCAGAAATAACAGTTTTATACATATATGTGAGTGTAAAAAAGTGAGTATGTTCAAAATCATACATTTTGAGAGTATCATTAGAGGGATATTTACAAAGAACCATTAGAAAACAATGCCAATTATGACATCAATATATCCCTTCATGTGTCAATAACTTTTTTGTGTACATTAATGATGCATGACAAGCAACTGAGAATTATAAACAATGCACTAAGTCAATAATACAGTCTCCTACTGAACAAATAAAGGTATGATTATGTTTAGACTCGTCATTACCTTGATTGCAAGCAGAGGGAGTTCACAGATGAAATGAAGAAATCCTCTGTCAGAGATGCAGTGGGTTACAAGGGAAAGCCTGGACAAACTCACACCAGGTTTCTGAAAAATGGAAAACGAACAAACATAGTAAACATACAATATCAAGCAATACTGAAAAAGTGTTATCCGTCCTATGTACAACAGCCCTCAGTTAAAGTTAATTTGTGAAGCCTACTAGTAAAAATCTTCAGATGTCTTAATTCTGTCAACCAGCATCACCACAAGAAGGGTAGGCAGAAAGCACATCTTATCTTGATATAAGGTTGATACATGGAAACGGTTCATTACGTGGGAACTAGTAACTCGAGGGCAGGTCCAAAGGATATTGGTACTCAAGGCCAGCCAGATTGCTAGGGCTTAAAGGGGGTGTAGCATGGCAAATACTGGTTCACACTATCTTTTGACAATTCTTTTTGACAATTGCACGTAAACAAATGGACTTGATTAATGGTCAGCGTGCGCTAGCATTTAAGATACAGACCGAAGTTCTCCTCACGCTTCGGTTTCGCGAATGTGGCACATACGTTAATACTGAGGTTGAGTCGTCCGTAGTTGTATACCCCATTTGCCCTGAGTCAGGCCATGGGAAAGACACGGAGTCTCGTCATGCTACAACCCCTTTAATCTACTTTATTTAGTTTACACATCACAACAAAAGGCTGTGAAATACTTACCTGAATACGCTCCAACCAATTCCACTTGCTTTTCTTATTCTTGAGGTTGAGAAGCTGAACAGCTCTGACAAAGATTTTGGTCTCATGGTATGGAAGCACACACATCATCAGGTCATCGGTATTGTACTCCTGGATATGAAACCTTTGAGGTTAAAAAAATGGATTGCAAGAGTACTGGATTAACAAAATACAACTAAAAAACATATTTATAAGACTATTGTACATGATGTAGAAGAATTCTGATCCATGTATGTCAATGAGTCAAGAAATGAGAAAACTTCTAACATGCTTTCAAAAGAAGATGGGAAATTTCATAATGTTAATAATTGTTGTCACTTTGTTGCCTACAGTAGACCCTCTACCCCTTCCAAGTGCCCCTTTCTCTCCCCTCCCAATGTCCCTCTCAATCCCCTTTGTCTGTGGTAATTATTCCCTTAACTAGAATCAAGATCATCATCACATTTCACTTAAATTTGTGCATCAAGGTATCTAACACTATCTAAACAATAGGTTAGGGTTATATTTGTTATAGCTGGAAGTAAAATGTCATATTAACATAGTCAAGTCAATTTTATCAGTACACATTAGTTTATTTAAAAAATATGAAGTAACTGCTGCTCAGAACATTATAAACAAGCATAAGAATTTAAACAGACCTGTAAACTAGCCATTCAATAGCCTTCTGCGCTGGTTTCAGGAGGAAGTAGGGGGAGACAGTCAACAAGAATTGCCTGATCTTCTTGTCTAGTTTATCGTTGATCTCCCTATTCTCAATGGAACGTTCCAGTGACTTGGATGCCTCATCGAATAGAAGACTCTCAAGGTCGTGGAATCGAGGATCGATGCCCTGCAACTCTTGCAAACCATTGACACCTTTTCACAAATATTAAAAAGAAAGAGAACAATGACTGATTGAATATATCTCATCATTTAATAGCTACTATCAAAGGCAAGAGCGTAAAATATGGGAAATCTAGCTCAGGTGGCATACATATACTTTCATCTCTTAGTTCAAGACATAAACATCAGACCAACTGTCTAAAGAGACAACATGTTTTGTTACCATTGAGCAGAGTTTCACTTGACACTTGTATTAACGGAACCTGTAGATACTGCTTTTAAAGTCCACTTTTCTTGTCTCCTTTGAGTGCTCTTTAAATAAATGTTTCACTGTATCATGGATCTGTATCTTGATTTTCATAGCTGCTTCACAAAGTCACCAAATAAACAAATAACATGACACTTTTTAATTATCAAGTAGTTTCATGATTAACACTTATTTTAGGAGCTGATTACACAACGAATATATTTGATGCAAGACTTTGTTTTCCAAGAAGGATAGTGAATTAGTTGGTAAATCTGGGAAGGGACTATATTTGTAGTACCAGGAATTCCTCTCGACCGAAAGGTTAACAATACTTATTTCCAGTGTTTCCACCATAGCTGTTTTCTATACTGGATGACACAAACATTATAGCGGATGAAATAATCAAACAATCAAATTTCAATCAATTTTCAATTTCAAGACTAAAATACTTACCGATGGCATAGAATGTATCTTTGTCTAGTCCTCCAGCCTCGGCAGGGTCAAAGAGTAAGGACTTTCTGTCTTTCCTCTGAGCAGCGACAGCAGCCCTTGCCTCAGGTACAGCCAACCTCTGAAGCTGCTGGGCTAAAGATGTCATGACTGCTTGCTAACCTAGGAAAGAGATTTCAAACATGGATGCTATTGTTATAAATAGGGGCTTGAGTACGTCATCAGTAACAGTTGACAATTCCAATGATCAAAGATTTCACGGTTCTGTGCTTTGTTTTTAAAGAGGGCCTAATATTACTTCATACAGTAGCATAGAGTGAGAGGGATTATAAAAACACAAAGTGAGTTTTGAGAGTGAAAAATGGCGTGATTATGTAAGAACTTAAACTTGAACAAAAACTTGCCTGTGGCTTTGTCTGAGAGAGAGAGCGCGTGGGGCCCTCAGCACCTTGCTCTTCGCCTAGCCCAGGGGCGAACAATCAGGTATTCCTTGTAAATAATTGTCTTTATCTCTTTGTTAGTCTGTATGATTTTCTCTCTCCATATTGCCTTCAGCTATAATCTTAAAATACGCTATAAAGTACGCACCAGATCACACAATTTCACCTTGAAAAATAAAAAAGCTCTACACTGTGGGAGGGGGGGACGCCCCCCTCCCTCGCTGGTATTCCATGTTAACAATTTTCTCTCTCCATATTGCCTTTAGCTATAATGATAATATAATCAGGGGTGATAGTGAGCACTAAAAAAAAAATAGGTTTTTTGTTTTCCCCTCAACCACGCCTCCCCTTGAGTAAAAAAAAAAGAGGATTCGCGGGGAAAAAATGGCATCTAACAACATTTCCCCCCTTTCGAATAAGAAAATTGGGGGAAAAATAGGGCAAAATAGGGAAGAATAGAGAAAATAAGAGGGAAATCTGGAAAATCAGGATAAAATAGGGAAGAAAAAAAAAATTGGTAAAAAAAAAAAAAAAAAAAAAAAAATCTGGATTTTTTTTTTTTTTTTTTTTTTTTAAATCGGGAAGAAAAAAAATCGGAAAAAAATCGGGAAAAATAAAAAAAATCGGGAAACCGATTTAAATCGGGTTTTTATCAGGCCTGTATAATCTATGAAGTATGCACCAGATCACACACAATTTCACCTTGAAAAATGAAAAAGCTCTAGGGGTAGGGTGTCTGATCGCGCACCCAATGTTGTGTGCTAAAACCCTTCCCATAGAGATTGTACGCTTCCCTATGTGGTCTACGTGCATTGCGCGACCATCCAAAATTGGTCAATGATTTTATGAAAAAATTTGAAATTCAAACCTTTATAACAAATGATCCTGAAGGTGAAACTCAATAAATGAGGTGTCATATGAAAGAGCAGGTTTTTCTCCATATTCCCCATCGGGGGCCACCCCCAGAATTCTAAAAATATCTTGGTCAAAATAGCGATTGAAATGTTGTTTGCATCCTAGCTCCAAAATTTGCCACTTTCCTGAGCTGCCGCCCCGCGGCTTAAGCAGGGCTAGACGTAAGGATAATATCCAGATGCTTTTTTTTTTGCTAGCCCCAAGGGATCATTTGTTATAACAGTTTGAAAATACCCTCCCACATTTTTGGAATCAGCTAATTAGGGAGGCGTGAGCTCCGCTCAGTCCAAACCATGGTTACATCGCGTAACATGTGCGCTTATAGTGAATGAAAGTATGGATGGCCGTTCCCACTATAAACCCCGGAAGTGAATACACGTTGTAGTCAATGGCAATATCGCGGAGACATCTCCGCGATATTGCCATTGACTATAACGTGCATTCACTTCCGGGTTTTTTGTGCGACGAACGCTAACCATACTAGTCAATGGCACGTGTCGCGGAGACAGCGTAGCTCAAGCTTGCAAGTCGCGCATTGGCTGAGCAACTTGCGTACGATATGCATACGCTTGCATATCGCGCGATACAGCTGTTTGGCTAAATTTAGCAAAACAACATAACTCTGCGTGTACGTCTTTTTCGTCGATTCTGAGCAAAATGCTATGAATATTTCAGCGTTTTGAAGGGGCTGTATCTTTTGATAGAAACATCGGCGAGACTTGAAATTTGAAATGTATTATTCTGATTACATTTTTAATTCAAATATCAAACAAAAATGGTGAAAAACGATCCCAAATTGAAAATTGAAAAATCGTTCAGACACCCTACTAGGGGTCTAGTCTAGAGGAGGGGGGGGGGGGGGCCGGGGGAAGCCACCTCCCACACCCTCCCCCACTCCCTCTCTGCGCTAGGTCGGGCTTGGTCGCTTCGCTCCCTCGCGCTAACGCTTCTCATATAATCTCACTCTCAACAGCTTTCCAATGTTGGCAGCTCTGCCTTTTCCACCTGTTTTATTGATAGTCCACAATGGCCATGTCTAGATTAGAAGTCTACATGACATTGTTTTCAACGTGTGGGACCAGAGAGAGTCGTCAGTTGAAATTAATATACGAAAATGTCAATATACATACGCATTCCTTCATTATATCCAAGACTGTAATAATAATACATGCAGTAGTAACAAAATTACATTTCAAATAGCAAGATTTAAATAAAAACTTACTCTTTATCGGTGAATAAAGATCGAAGATGACAGTACACAGCACAAGCACATGTTCCGCTAAACTCAGCCGTCTAACAATTCATTGTCAATTTTGAAGTGCAATCACATTGCCAAACTAAGAACTTTAAATATTATTCCACTTTATCTGATCAATTTGAACATTTTGAACTTTAAAATATCTTTTGAACAGCAAAAATGTATTTTTTTGATAAAATTATTCATAAAAAGCTTTTAATTAAAAAATACATATATTATCATAGTCGTTCAAGAATGATTGTTAATATTACTTAGCAAATTGTCAACTGAACCTAAAACAATTTGAAATTTTCATTACAAAAAACAAAACTCGGGTAAAACGTTCGATTTTGTCAATCAAATAACGATATCTTCGAATCATATTAATAAAAAGGATCACATTATGGATGAAGATTTAGAGGAAATGCGGGCACTTCGAGGTACACTAATGAATGTTATACTTGTGATGCTATTAAATGATTTTGAATAGTATTTTAGGCATTCAAAGATTAATGTAGGGTCTAGATCTAGTCCCAACCGTTCGAATTCATGTATTGTCATTTTACTATCTACAGTAGATTGAGATTGAGAAATCCCCGGTGGGGTCACTCCCCTGCAAAGAGTGACACGTATGACCGTTACCACCAATGCATATAACCCCCTTTTGCTGTCAATTTCAAGGACATTTTGTGAAATTTAACCCCCTTTTTTACGTCAAAACAAGGACAAAATCGTACTTTGGAATACCCCTATTTATAAGATTGTAAGGACACTTTCGCAAATTTACCCCTATTTTACCATATTTCAAGGACAAGACTCGGCTCCGAGAATTTTTCTTCCCGGTTTTCTCTTTTCCCTTCTCGGTTTTCTCTTTTCCCTTTTCCTGACCCCTATTTATCAATTTCGGGGACACCTGTGCACCCCTATTTTCTTTATTTCGAGGAATATTTTGTCCGCGGACATTGCTTGAAATTGACCCCTTTTTCCGCGATTTTGGTAACGGTCATGCGGTCCGGAAGTCATATTGAGTGACCCCACCGGGGAGAAATCATTAAGAGTAAGACTGGCCAAGAGTCTCCGATCATTAATTGGCCGATGATATTTTAATATTTTAGAGAAGTAATTCTACAGATTCTGGCCAGATTAGTAAAAACTTCCAGATCATTCTAGTCTAAGTTTCTAACCAAAATGAAAATGACTAAAATTTGAAAAGGAAACTAAAAAAAAAATGACAAAAAAAAAAATAATAATAGAGGTCTACTGTTTTTGATAAATATAGTCCCAACTCCAAGCCAGGTTAACACCAGAGCTCGAATTTGAGGCATTTCTTGAGGAAAATGCAATCCTTTTTCTAACCGTGTGTGTAAGTACGTACGGCTACCAAGAACTCTGCGAGAAGTGACGCATGTATGAAGTAGGAGCGCCGTGCGGCCGAGAAGTGGAGGTATGGTATCACAATTTATCTGCTACCCGGCCACACGTAAGTACACACGGTTAGAAGAAAGGTTGCATTGTTCTGAAAAATGCCTAAAATTCGACAAAATGAGCTTGACCTTGGCGTAGAAAGAGGCAGAAGGTGAAGGGCTAATTGGAATTGCCTATTCATTATAATTCCATGAGTTATAATTATAAATGCAATTCATTTATTGTTTATTTTATATCTCTCTCACTCAGCTGCACGTTGGGATCAGCAGAAGATTGCAACAGCAAAGAAGTCTGCCGAAAAGACATCTTCAACTCAATCGGCGACACACTCTCATCCCAGACCAAGCAGCTCTGCAAGCTCAGAAACTTTTCAAGAATCTGAAGATAGTGACATGGCTAAAATGATGGGGTTCTCCGGTTTCGGAAATGGTATCGGTAGCAAACTTTTCTACTTGCATAGCCATAGACAACTGATAATTCTAAATTTGTCTATGTGTTTCGTGGTAGATCTTATTAAGAATGAAGCCTTCGAGGCTTGAATGTTAATTCATTGTACCAACAAATTTACAATAGATGCACCGATTTCTAGGCTATTTAGCATGATATATTTTAGAATTTTAATTGAATAACTACTAATGAGGCATAAATAACTAGTTGAAATAAAAAATGTCATTACAAAAATATACAATTGACAATTTTGAAGAAGAATAAGAGGGCATAAATGCCAAAAAGAGAGAAAAATCAATATTGCAAATGCTAGAAAAAGAAAAGAAAGAAAGAGAGAGAGAGAGAGGAAAGACTGCACAAAAGCTGAAATAGTGAAATTCTGTATTATATGACATTAATGATAGTACAGTGGCTTTTAGTTTTTATAGAATTGTTAAAAGTGTAAACTTCTTTAAGTTTTTTTTAAATATACATTAGATCAAGTATATCGCAGGTGCTTTTCCCTATTTTTTGCCTTGAGCATAGAAACAAATGCCTTTCTAAAGCTCTGATACTAATTGTCGACATGGAGCCATCAAATTATCATTATGTAGCATTTATTTACACTAATGCTCTTTTAAATTTCATTTTCTTGGCAGGTAAAAAAGCAAGAACTTTTGACCTTGACAAAATGTTTGAACAAACTAGAAGAACTGCACAAGAAACGTCAAAGAGAAGTAGCAAGGATGACAGTGGTGATGATGATGATAATACTGATAGTAAAAAAGATGACCCAAGGAAGAAAGCTGGAAACAAGTCAAGGCAAGATGATGATGACGATGACGATGATATGATTGGTGAGTTTGTACTTTGTTAGATTTTTCTATTTCAGCATGTTACATAATACAGGCCTGACAAAGGATTCATAATCTGTACAGAATATCTAAAAGTTCAGTTTGAAACCTACCATCACACTTTTAGCTTTAAATTCATTTCAAAGTTTGATTGTTTAGTTTATTTAACCAGACTATATTTTCATATGTTCAATGATACCAGGCTTGATTTATGATTCATGCTATTTTCTGGTTCCCTTAAGTCTTTAATGTTGTTGTTAATACAAGTGACTTTTTATACCTTTTTTCTTGTGTTGATTGGATTAAAAAAAAAAATCAAGTTCAATGTTGCATTAGAATTTTTATCTTTTGTTTGTATGTTATAACTTTTATCTGTATACCTCTGATTCAGTATAAAACACCAACAAAGATTTCAGTTAATTTTTGTTTTGTTTTTGTTCTTTTGATCGTTGGATATAATTATTACTCCTTTTATCTTATCAATATTCACATTAAACATAGGTCCGCCATTACCACCAGGGTTTAGTCGACCTTCGACCTCAAAGAAAGCATCCGGTGCTGACAGTGATGATGACGATGAGGAGGATTATGAAGATGATGATGAAGACAACTTGGTAATGCCTATTTCTTCATTATTTTGAACTAAAAATAAAATTAAAAAATTCTTCATATACTACTGATATCCAGATGGCCAATATTACATTTCACTTTTCACAGAGATCACCCAGATCAGCGCTGTAGGTAGCAAGTGCCACCCCCAAATTTTATTTCCTAGATTATCTTTGGATGAAGAATAGCTATTTGTTTTGTTCTAAAGTAGTTTTGTTCTATTGTGAAGGATGTTCAAACTGAAGATATTCCAAGTCAAATGCTTCATTGAAACAAAGATTTAAGACTCATGATTGGAATCTTGTAACATCAAGGTTGGCCAACTTAATTTGTATCAACTTCTTCTACTTCCGAGTGCCTGCATTCTTAACATTTATATTTCATTTTGTTTTCAGCCTCCAGAGAAGAAGATTCCTGCTACCCACGAGATAGTCCTGAATCATGGCAATAAATCTGTGAGTATGATTTGTCTCATTGCCATGGCAGTCTTGTTAAATTTTGTAGAATTCTCAATCACATAACATTAACGAAATATAAAGAACTGAAATAACAAAGTTTCGAGTAAGGCACAGGATGTTTTTAGGTTATAGTTCTGAAAAGAAACGTCCTTATTTTTCCATCAGGTAATTCTTAATTTCTAAGTTCTGTTTCTTTTAATAAAAAAAAAATAAATAAAGTTTCTTGCTTAAGATAACTTCCATAGCCTTTGTGAAATTTCTCTCTCAAATAAAATTAGGATAAATTTTCTTTGACACAATTTTGGTCAAGAAGTCAAGTGCTTAAAGGCAGGCCTTACTACTTCAGCTAGAAGGGATTAGACCACCCATCAAGCCAGCGAGGTCACTGTGACAGGTGGCTATCTCATTAACTCGGCTCTTATTTAACATAAGAAAAAGAGGATCATGGGGGAACAACAGGCACCGATTGGGGAAGTTTCTATATAGAGGGAGCAAGTAGCTACAAGTAGGACAGTGTGCCTTTAAACCACTTGACTTGAAGTTTTAAGGTCGTGGCAAGGCATTAATCTACATTTGCCACACCCGACCCAGGTGAGGTAAATGGGTACCTGGCAGGAATGATTTCCTTGAAATGCTAGAGCGCTGTAATGGCAGCTAGGCTAAAGCTGGGTATATGAATGGCTATTATTATTATTATTATTATTATTATTCTCATCCTTTGTTTCCTCTTCTGTGATCCAAATCCAACATTTCCCCTAGCAACAATTGCATCAAGATCCAGGGTTAGGCTGAAGGTTGCCATTACCTCAGGTTTAGGGTCAGGTATAGTTTTAAGTCCTTTGTTGAAATTAACAAAATGTTTAGTTTTGGATATTGACAGTGGAGCGATATTTTCTGAGGCACAAGTTGTAAAATTGCTTCTTCTCTCGAGCAGGTATCGGCTGTAGCTCTGGACCCTTCCGGTTCTAGGCTTGTGACCGGAGGCTATGACTTTGATGTGCGCTTCTGGGACTTCGCAGCGATGGATCCATCACTCAACTCCTTCAGGTCCTTCCAACCATTTGAATGGTACGTCTTCACTCTTGTTATTTAGAAGAACAACTTTATTGCAGATTAAGGACAGCCATTGCAAAAATTTTCACTGCAACATGCTTTTTTTTCTGTACATTTTGAAATGAAATGTCCTTCTAGATTACACAAACATAATAGTCTTGAATCCAAGACATCCCATTTTCGAGACTCTTTCTGTCTTTTTATGTCCGAGCACAGTTTTGACCAGCACAGTATTACATCCTACTGCTCAAGGACTATTGCAAAAAACCCCTCATCTTTCCTTTAGAATTCCAAATGATTTTATGAATTGTAAAGTTCCTTACTAGGGAATATTATTTATTTGGTAACTATCTTTATCTTTTCTCGGCATCCATGTGACTCTTTTCCAAATGTACTCTTGTTTTGTTTTCAATTATTTTCTTATTTTTTGCCAAATAAATAATAATAACGATGATGATGATGATGATGACGACTACGACGATGACGACGACGATGATGATGAAAAGAAATCATAATATGAACTTTTCATGTCTTTTGCTTTCTCTAGCCATCAGATCCGAACACTACAGTACAGCATCACGGGAGACAGAATACTCATGGTGGCGGCCAAACCTCAGGCAAAGGTCGTTGACCGTGATGGTTTTGAGGTCATGGAGTGTGCCAAAGGTGATCAGTATATCGTTGACATGGGCAAGACAAAGGTATGTCACTGTTGGGAATCCATTGAGCTAACAAATACTGTGTTATATGCTCCCCTTGTAGGATAATATTACGTTCTGGAACCTGTTTCACAAAGCCTTTTTTTCAATGACAAATGACAAAAATCAGCGACAAATCTGCTGATAACCAAACAGAAGCAAGGATTTCACTAGCTTATAACAAAAACTGTCATTTGTCACTGATGACAAGTTTTGTGAAACGCCCCCCTGTTATTGATGGATAGTAAAATCTTACAAAATGAAAGAAAATGTCACTGAATATTTGTAAATATGTATTGATGACATCTTCCTATAGTTCTGAATAAATAAAAATTGCTATATCATTTATGAGTAATGAGCAAAAAAGTAGAAAATTTATTTCAAGCACTATAAACACAGTTACTGATAATTTTATTTTTAGCATGTTTTTCATTTATTTGTAAATTTACAGATCAAGAAGAACTTACTTACTGTATGATGATTATTTCAGAATTACTTTAATATTAATCCTGTCATTGATAGTTATATTTCTTTATATGTTTTAGTTCTCGTCGAAGATACATTTTACTTTTTTAAATTATGTATTATAGGGACATACTGCAATGTTGAATGGGGGTGCTTGGAATCCAAAAGTTAAAGAAGAATTTATCACATGTGCAAATGATGGGTAAGTTGACAGTGTGTGTTTTGTTTCATTTTCTTACGTTTGTATTGCATTGTTTCCCTTTTCATGATGTTTTGGTGCTTGGTACCAATATAATTAAAATTTATAATTAAAATTTAAAAAAATAGTTAGTTTCTTGCAAATTTTCTAAAATATATATAAGAAGAGGTCATAATTCTTTGTAAGGACCTCTGATATTGTGTGCCACTTCTTTCTTTGGAATTCTTGGACAGAAGTCAATTGAACTATATGGTTGGGTTTTTTCTTTATTTTAAACCATGAAAAACAATGAAATAATTATTTTTTGCTGTACGTGCAGTATATTGATATATACAATTCATCCATTATGATTCAACATCAATAAAAAAAAAATTACAAGGACTGTAGTAATAGATTTACTAATACTCATTTTCTGAGCTGTGACTGCCATTTTCATTTCTACCTTTTGGATAGGGATGACAAATCATTTACCTGATTTTCAAAGCTCAAACAAATCAAATATCTTGTTTTTATTTTAAATCAGTACTAATTTTATTACGTCTTTCCAAATCCACAGCACAGTGAGAGTATGGGATGTCAACCAGGCATGGAAGCAGCAACTGGTCATCAAGTTCAGAAATCAGGGCGGTCAGAAGACCAATCCGATGTGCTGCGTGTACAGCAGGGATGCTAAGCTCATCTCAGCAGGGTGCCTGGATGGCAGTATACAGCTCTGGGACATGAAGAGGCCATTGGTAAGATGATTGGGGATATATTAAAGAGAAGGTTGAGTTCTGGGAAGAGATGAACAATAATTTGTGAGCGTCCTCATTGTTATTATGCAAGTGTGGAAGAACATCAGATAAAAAAAGGTTCCCTGAAAAGCATGGCTCTTCAAATGCCTTAATATTCTAAATATGGCTGGCATGTTACAGCATTAAAACCGAAACAGATTTTTATGCCACACGTTTGTGTAGTCCCATTTACATATTTCTGTGTACAGTGCTTGTAACTTTACCAACACTGGGCCAAATTTCTTATCATTTTGATGATTCCAGAACCTTGCAGTACATACCAATACTTATATGCTAGATGATCAACTTTTTCTGATCGATTCCACACCGTTTCTTTCACAATGCAATCGCATGCCCAGAACTCAACTTTATCTTTAATACAATTCTATGCAAAGTGACTGTCAGTTTTCTGGTCATTATTATCTACCGATAATTAGTTGGATTACTGATATACAGTGAAACTTGCATATAAAGGCCACTAAAGGGAGACAAAAATATGCAGTCTTTATACTTCGATACAGGTGGTCACTTAAAAGCAGGTTTGACTGTACATGTTCATCATTTAAAAAGTACTGCGCAACGGAGGTGAAAATTTGATAATGTGAATTGCGCTGTCCTCAAAGAGACTAATATCAAGAACTTTCAAAAGTATCATTTTGGCATTCTAACAATTTAGACTGACTTTGTATCATTGATCAAAATGAATTAAATAATACTTTCAAATGATTAAAATCAACTGGAGCTAGCAACAAGAAAGCTTACAAGTCAAAGTTGAACATATTGAATCCAACTTGATTTTGATACAACACCAAATTTCCAAGTGGCATTATGGTGTCCAATGAGTTAATATTGGCTTTGAGTAAAATTGTGACCCTGGGGGTGCTTCACAAAGACTAAGATCAAATTTAAGTTGGACTTAAATATGGCAGGCCGTTTATACCACTGTTTGCTCTCACCATTTATTGGCATTGGTCTCTCAAGGGATGTACAAATCATGGTCACAAATCCACAGAACTTCCTTTTTTTTTATAATTCATTATTGAAGTAAAAAATATTAGCTAAAGATCATAATGGTGAGAGCAAGCAGTGGCATGAATGGCCTGCCATAGTTAAGTCCAACTTGAATTCGATCTTAGTCTTTGTGAAACACCCCCCTGGAATGTTATATGCTTCATTGCAACAAAATCTAGATAATGTAAAACTCAATCTTCGATTCATGTCTGATTTTTTATTTTTTTGCATGATAGGTAAGGCCAACTTTTCATCAAAAGATGGCTCATGGAAAGGGTACAGAGACATCCTGCATCACTTTCTCATATGACAATCAGATTTTTGTTACAAGAGGTGGTAAGTAAGCCCAGTAGATGGCGGACAAATTTCTAAAGAGAAGATATCTTTTATGAAAAGAGGCATACAAAATAGGATTATTAAATTGCATCTGAAGCTAAATTTATGTTGTTCTTTACAATATGATTTATGCTGTTGCCAAATTTTGATCACATCAGATCTATGTAATTAAAAGTTTTTAAAGTTTTTTTTGCAAGACATTAAATGAAATGATGTAATTATGAATTCTCAAATTATTCTGGATGAAAGGCTATTCTGCATTCATGATGACAGATTTAAAGTTGATATTAAATGTCTAATAATGACATAAATTTAGTACCGGTATTAGCTTCAAAATAAGAAAGTTGTGTGTAGGAAAAATTATTTCTTCCACCTTTATTTTTTGTATTGTCTATAGGTGATGACACAATGAAATCCTGGGATCTGAGAAACTTCAAGAGACCGGTCAATGTTGTGACTGGACTGGAAAGCTTCTACCAAGTGTGAGTGATATTAACCTGTTCACTACTGAATTTTAAAGGTCCCATAGGCTTAACACAGGGACCACCAGGTTCCCGTAAGAAAAGGGTTAACTCTTACATTGCCACACATTTTCATGATTTCAGAGATCAAGTACACATCTGTACACTGTTACAGACCTCATGCATGTACATATGTATGTATGTTGATTATGCGTATGAGCAGAATTCTACAGAAAGGGGTGTTCGTTACAGGTATTTTATTATTTTGTTTTGTATTAATACTGTTGCTACTGTTGTGTTGTGAAGTACAGGAAGATATGATTTTCATAATCTGATGTAATTTTTTTTGTAACATCATAATTCTTGAGACAACATAATTCTTTCAGTCCATAACTTGAGTTGGTGTTGATCCTTGTTGTTGTTGAGATCACCTGACTGTCATGAAAGCAACCCAAAGACCATTGGTTTATCTGAGTAACTTTTGTAATAAAAGCTTATTGCCTTTAATACCAAATGGCACAAGCAAACCAACTTGGTCCCAAACATTGGACCTCCTGGTTTTTAAAACTACTGCACTTTCCACTGAAAATGATGCCACCTTGTGTGGAAGTAGCATTTAATCATCAGCAAAGAACGAGAATGGCCTTAGCTCTATGTAAAATAGTATGGGTTAAAGCCTGTGGGTTGTCACTTTCAATATGTCTGCGCACAGCGAACTCGTAGGCCAATCACGAATCACCCCCTCATCTCTCGGAGAGTCTTTTGGTGATGCAAATGTCACATAACGAAGACAGAACGGCATATTAAACATAAAGCCTGGTATTCATAAAACTGAAAGTTAATCCTGGTGATTGACAACACCTGTTATTGTGTAAACACCTGAATGGTGTCAAATTCCCCCATGAAATCGAGAGCCCACCTCTACATGTCTTTAACAGTCATTTGACTCTCAGTGGATTGTATTATAATTTCCTTCTTACAATATGAAATGTAATTTTTGTGCACAGATCTGAATGTTGCTTCAGCCCGGATGATAAGATGATTTTGGCTGGCCAATCAGTGAGGAGAGAACAAGAAGGAAAGCTCATGTTTTACGACAGAAACACCTTCAACAAAATAACTGAATTAGAATGTGGACAAGGGGTATGTATTATATAAAATATATTTTTATTTTCAGTTCCTAATCTTGTGTAGGAAATCAGTTGGTTGTATCGTTGAGTTGGTGAGGTTTGAAAGGTTCATAGGTGGTAATGCTTTTTGAAAGTAAAATGTTACTGAAGGGAAATAGTAATATTCATATATTTAAATACCGGTATTGACTAGACTTCAGGTGAATGTTTGAGTACTATACTTCATGAGTCAATTACAAAGAAAAATGTATTCTATCAAACAAAATGTTATGTTCCTTGAAATGTATTCATAATCCTGTAATTCATATATCACAATGCTAGATATTTCAAAGAACACACTATGTTCACATGTATATTTGAATAACTAGATAATACCATTATTATGCATTTACAGCACTTGGGGGAGTTTCACAAAGATCCTAAGTCGAACTTTACTCTAAGTTGGACTGAACAATTATGGAAAGCTGTTAAAATCTTTAAAATACTTTGTAAAAGTTATTTTAAAGGGCATAAAATGTTGATTCAAATCATTCATATTTTCTATTATCAAGGAGATTTCATGTTCTTGATGCGGAATTCATGAAAGGTCTAAAATACTTTTATTTTTAAGGCTACAAATGGCTATCCATTATGTTTAAGTCCAACTTAGAGTTAAGTTTGACTTAGTTTCTTTGTGAAACACCCATCTGGTGTTTGAGCTATAACAAAAATTTGTGTTCTTCTTTGATGACAGAGTGTAGTGAGATGTCTATGGCATCCTAAGCTGAATCAGATCATTATAGGCTCTGGCAGCGGACTGGCAAAGGTCTTCTATGACCCCAATAGAAGTCACAGGTACACATTTATCTTTCTATCGTGTTTCACATGTATATTAAAGGTATAGACCAGTTTTGGAAACGCCCCCCTCTCAAAAAATGAAATGGAAGCTCTTATTACCAATCATGTGAAAGAATATGTTTTTACTAATACGTGATGATACAAATTTTGCTGGGAAACCGCATACTAATTGATATATTTGGTAAATTATTATATCTATCCAGTCAAACCTGCTTGAAAAACCACCTGTATTGAAAGACCGCCGGTCCATAAATACCACTTTTTTGTTTGCCCTTGAAAATGGTTTCTCATTGAAACTTGTACTAAAAGGACCTGTACATAAAGAATACCTGCCTATAAAGACTGCTTTTCTAGTCTCCCTTGAGCGGTCTTTATATACAGGTTTCACTGTATATCATTCATTTGGTTATAATATTGTTATCTTACAGAGGAGCCAAGCTGTGTATGGTGAAGAAGAGAAGAAACAGAGTGGAACCAGACATAGTCAAAAGTGAACACGTCATTGCTCGTAAGTTTGAATTCAAATACAATTTTTAGAAGAAAAAGGTAGAAAACTTACAGAGGGCCCGTCTTATAAAGAGTCGATTTCGATTGTAACTACGTACATAAGAGTTAGGAGACTGCAAACTTGTGATGATTGGAAGACTTGCGATTGATCCAAATCAAGCTCAACTCTTTATGTTAAAGACGGGGCCCAGGTTACAAGAATAAGGGAGTTTACATATATCCACAGATCTTTTACACATGGAGAAGTTCCACTTTGAGCATCTTAGAATAATAACTGCCAAAGTCCTAGATGTGCTTCATGAATACCTTTTGTTTGCCCTCTTGAAAAGAATACTTCCACCTGCGTATCTTAGAATGTACCGTTGGTGCATAAATGAATAATGTTACATAACTTTCATGAGCGCATATCCAGTATTCATCTCTGTGCATTTTACCTTTTGGGTACAAATGACCTTTATCTGCTCATGCTCAGACTGCAACCGTAAACTGGCTTATTAACCCGACTCTTAGTGTATATTTCTGGATTTGTGTAAATGAAAGGTTACATGACAGTTTTAATTGGCTGTTCTATTATTGAGTGAAATAGCTTTTTGCAGTGCAATAACATAATAATGTAGTGTCCATGTCTTCAAAGTGCGTGTAGACCAACGCCCCTCTTCCAGTGGAGGGAGATATGGGGGGCTGTTAAGATCCCCCGAAACCCTATTCCCAATGCATTGTTTTGCCTCCTAATGAAAATACAGAAGGAATATACTTCTTGGGGAGTGTAGTTGGTGCACATATTGACTCCATTCACCAAGCCAATAGCACCTTCAAAACAACTCATTGTTAAGCACTGTATGATAAATGAGATAATCAGATAAACAAATGTCACATTCCTACAACAAATTTGATTGATAACAGGGACTAGATTAATGCTAAATATATTACTCACTGCGTATCAAAAATAATATCGCGAGTGATATACGTTTGTCTCGCAATGTATGGTCAACAAGGGATCTAAAAGATCATGACGTTTCGTGCGCCGCTGCAACCTTCATCAGGTGATAAAATATATTGTAAGCAAGCATGTTTTACACTCTATGGGTGGACCGGCGGTCAAATAATTTGATCAATAATTAGAACAATAATGGACAAGGCCTATTGGCCGGAGCACACAGGTGCTCAACCAATCAACGGATTATTGCTGTTGATGATATTGTTATTGATACTGTATTACATTTTGTTCTTCTACATCTATACCTTGTAGCTATTATGTCAAGGAGAGGCAGACATCGTAACAAGGAGGAGCCGATGGAGATGATGGCTTACAAGAAACAGATGAAAGACAGACAGGATCCCGTCAAATCAAGGAAACCTGATTTACCTATCAAACAAGGTGGGTCCTTGGAAATGTCCAGTTTTATGTGTCACTATCTACGTTCTGTTTCATTCACCTGTCCTGTAAAACCAGAAACATTTACCAATCTTGCTTATAGTCTGGACATAGTGGCCATGTTTGAATTGATACACTCATGATTTTGGTTGTCTCGAGGAAGAGAATCATAAATCAAATCATGAAGTGATGGAAAGTACATTGTGAATTTTTTGTAGTAGACAAATAGTCTACAGTAACTTGCACTTTAAATACCTCACCGCTTTGTTATAAGAGAAGAGCTTGTTTTATTTATGAGATTGGTCTCTTTTAATTTGTAATAAAATGAAAGCCATTGAAAAATCATATGCTTCAACCGTCTACAATTCATTCTCCCTCTCCCTCTCTCTCTCTCAACCCTCAGGTCAAGGAGGTCGTATTGCGGCTGGAGGTAGCACCCTATCTCGCTACGTTGCCATCCAGATCGCCCTCACTAAGAAGGTTGATCCTAACATCGACGCAAGGGAAGCCATCTTGAGACACGCAAAGGATGCTGAAGAGAAACCTTTGTGGATTGCACCAGCCTATAAACAGTGAGTTATATTGAATAGGGAATTTTTGAAGTGAGCTTCTTACTGGCTGAAAACATGTCATGTGACCCTCAACATTACGTTATATGTGGAAGAGCATGCAATGTCACAATCCTGTTTTAGACGATATAATGCGTAGAAAAGTGAATTCTGATAGACAGCGCACCTCTCTTCCCTGCGTATTGTTAGAATTATTACATTGATATTATTTATATCGCCTACACAGTTTGTTTGTGGAGAACTTGCCATTTTAGTCATGAGATTTCGATATAGCAATTTATTTGTGGCCGTATGTTTTACAGTGTAGTAAATGATATGATTCACTCTGTGACCTGAATACTTTATTGATAAGAAAAAGAGGAATTGCTCCAGAGCAGTATACAGTGTGTAATCGATAGCTTGAAATAGAATCCTTTTGTTCAAATATGCAAGGGATTACATGACCAGGTGCAGAGCTCTTTGTATATACAGCATTTTTTTTCCTTCAAAATAGGAGTGTTCAACAATCAATAAGTACAATGTTTGTTTGATAATTAGGTGATTCATATTAACCATGAAAGACATAATCAAATACTGTGGCTCCTACATTGTTAAATCTAACCCATAATTTTTGTGATCATTTTCCGTATATAATCTTTCATCGGGTTTACATTCTTCAAACATGTTATCCTTGCCAATATCCATGTGATGATATGAATTGCATTAAATACAGCTAAAGCTAGTAATACTAATACAGTCAAACCTGCTTTTGTGACCACCTGTCTACAAAGATCACATTGGGCAGTCGCTTGTATATATTTTTACTTCTCTTTGCCACAGAAGTAGAATATAGGACACGTATTTCAACATGCTTTCAAATTCCTCTTATTTTTTTTCTTCTCAGCACCCAGCCCAACCCCATCTTCCATGAATCAGATGAAGAAGAAGAGGATGATGAGAGACCTAGCTGGGCGAAGAAAGCTAAGATGGACTCAGACTCCAAGAAATAGCCCAACTTTTAAGCATTAGCTAGGCCCAAAAAGCAACAGAGGACTCAAGAAATTTCCCAGCAGAGCCCTCGCCGGGCTAAGAAAGTGAAGATGGACTCCAAAAAATAGCCCAACCGAGTCCTAGCTGGGCCAAACAAGGAAATATAGACTCCTAGAAATAGCATCCCCCAAGTATTGCTTGGCAAAAGATTTAGCTTTTTTTAATAGTCATGAATTGGATATTGCAGTTCAGAATCTGTTGCATGCATGCTTTATAATTGAAATAAATCATGGATAGAGAAAAGTTACTATTTTGCCAGTTCCATTCCTTTATTAAAAACCAGTGGTTTACTACATTTCAATTACCTATATAAGTATGCATTGCTTAACTCAATTTTGACTGTTTGGAGAATAAATATAAATAAAATCATAATTCAAGTTCATGAACATGCATAGTGATTATTGATCACTGTCTTCAAGTTAAAGGTACTATGTCCCATTTGCAGGACCAAAAAATGAAAAGGTTAAATTCCAACGGCATTTGAAAGACAACACTAATTTAGAACTTCGCTAAAAAAAAGGAGGCTTGAAAATGTTTTTAAGTGGGAAAATAACGACTATTAGTTGTCGAATCGACTTAAGAGCTATAGAGCCAGTAAGTAATAGTCTGATTTTTCAGACAATTGTACCGAATGGTCGTACGTTTTATGCTGCGCAAAGATTCAATCAGTTTAATTTTGGCCATTACAAGAAGTGGGTTATTGATGTAGACAAATGCTCATGTACCCTTTACAGCTCATGTTATGTATGTTATTACCAAAGATGAAAAAAAGCTAGTCAGTCACTCAATAGTGTCTGACAGTGAAGTCTAGCAAGTAAACGGATTTCTTTGCATAATTTGAATATTAGGACACTGCTCAAGTTTAAATTTCACAGATAGGACATACCTAACATATTCATAATCCCTGCAAAGTTCTACAGAATTTGATGTTGGCTGCAAAAGGGACATAGTATCTTTGATGTAAGAGGCAAATAATTTTGAAATAGCAGAAAAGCCAAATTCCACTTAGAAATGTCAATGTAGAGGTGTCGTGGTTGAGTGGATATGTCATGTTGATCACAAGGTCTGCGGTTGAGTCTCAAAGTGGCACTAATGTCCTTTGGAAAGACGGTAATCTACATTTGCCACACTCGACCAAGGTGAGGTAAATGGGTACCTGGTAGGACTATTCCTTGACATGCACTGTGCGACGATTACGGCTGCCGGAGCTAAAGCTAGGGTAATAATTTCCAAAGCTATTTGGAAGTGCAGAGAGAGACGTTATATTATGTGATATCCCCTATACAAGAACCAAATATTATTATATTGCTATTTCTCATTCAAGTTGTCACCATTTTCACATGCATAAATATCTCTCTTAAAATTAATAAATGATTTTATATTTGACACTAGAAAAGACAACCTTTTTTCAGACAAGAAACAATGTACATGCATAACAGAGAACATAATTTATTCAAACTTAGAATGATGTCTACCTTGTACAGATTCATATTGGACTTATTGCCACAATGAGGATTCATGGTCATTGTCATATGACATTTTTTTTAAATTAATGTCTCACTTTTTAGCTCTGACTTTGTATTTATGTAAATATCTTGTAATAAATAATTTTATATGAATATGAATGAATTTGCTTTCTGCTGGTGTTATATTTCGTAATATATTAGACTTTATCTTCATCCTATCTTAACCTTTTTCTACAGTTTCTTATGTTCATTTCATTATTTATTCCTGCTCTTTTCTCTACATTCTCTGCCTCCCCTTTCCCATTACACTGCCTGTATAATAGGTCATCAAGTGAATAAAGAATAAGACAGAATTAACAGACTGCTACAAGTACTTCCTCAAATCTCTTTCACTTCAGATCTTTCCCCTCGATAGACCCTTTTCATAATGTAATCAAATTTAATGAATAAAACTTTTAAAGACTGTTTTTCAATAGCCGGAATGCGAATTGCATACCGGTACATTAATTGCTGCTTGGTGGGACAAACATTATGGCTAACAACAATAGCCTGTTCAAATGAACTGATATTAGTGAACAAAGGCAAGAAATATAAGAATTGATGGACTTCTAGCTCTCCATCTATACCAATATGACCAATAACTGAATTAAAAAAACATCTTCCTATTTACATGTACATGCCTAATACCTACAGTTTCACCCCTTTTTTGTGGTCTACCCCCCCCCCCCTCCTCCCTTGCGCCCCACTCCCTTTATCCCTCTTCTCCAACCATCATTATTCACACATTAAAAATTCATGTATGGTATATAATTATACTTCAGTGCACTCCCCCTATCCATGCATACAGAGTGACCATTCAACGTACAGGTTACTAGAAAAACAAAAGGATGGATTGAGTTCAAACAACAGTGCCTAATTCATTTTCATTTTATTTAGCTCTTCTTCAATAATGCTTTAGGGACAATCACTTCATTAGAAGTACTTACATATAATTGCACAAACATTGAGATCTGTAATGACTACACAACATTGACAAACATTTTGACCGATTTCTTTTAACATTGCGTGGTTCAAAACTTCAAATACAGGAATTGTATAACAATTGCAATTTTCATATGGTTTATGCGTATTTGTTTAAGTATACAAAACCCAAAATTTATAAAAATATTTCTAGCATAAATAGGCAACATATACAAACAATTTCTAAAGCCGGCTTTGCTTCGCAATACACAGAGAGATGCTGCATTTCATACAATGCATACATTTTTTATTAATACTTAATACATGTATAGGCACCTCATGAGATATGTGTCACATGTAGAAACAAAGTAGTAATAACTTCAGGAAGGGCAGTAAAATACATGGGCATGTTCAGATATGATTCTATTCAAAATTGAATTATATAATATATATCTTTTTGGATTTATGCTGTTCAAAAGTATTCGTCTCTTACAGTATAATACTTGAAGACAGTGATCAATAATGACTGCCTATGAATTGAGCTAGTGAAGGTTTAAACAGAAGACATTGCAATGCAGTATATTGGGTCTATCATCATATCTACATATGTAATGCAGGTGTCATTTGTAAGACGCACCTTTTGACCCCCGGGGATGGTGCGTCATGGTTGCGTCATGTTCCCCAAAATCGCGACGCACAGTACCGTCATGGCCGCAAAATGTCCGTCACAATACTGACCCATATGTACGTCATAGTAAGTCACTTTACCACGTTGCGTCATTTGGTGTGTCAATGGGACCGTCACTTTCTCCAAGCAGAAGTGTTTCTCAAATGTGCGTCATTGGCTAGTCATTTTCATGAAATGGTGTGTCATATGTTTGACTCAAATGTGCGTCGATGGAATGTAATGGTGTGTCACTTTCTGTGACGGAAGGTGCGTCATGGTATCAAAATGTACGACTCACATCGGTACAATGACGCACCATTCCCGGGGGTCAAGAGGTGCGTCTTACAAATGACAAGTGCATAAGTCTACACAAATTTGATGGAGATAGATGTGGTAGGTTTAATACTGCACTTCTTTCCAAATTCTTAAGAATAACATTTGAGAGCATTAATGATCCTTTTGTACATTAAAAGATAACATTGACTACACTGCATTATGGCGTCTGTCAAACAAATACAGGAAACAAGGCAAGATTTCATAATTTTTATAATCTTCACTTTTTCAAAGAATATGTCAGTCTACGATTAAACCTTTATAACCACTTAGATTTGTTAATGTGTATTTTATCTATATCAAATAATTAGGATATTTTAAGCACCAGCTACATTGAAAGAATAAATCTTTCAATGAAATAAAATGAAACCAAAAAGACTTAAATTAATTGTAAATGCATATAAAGAATTTACATTATGACACTGGCCTATTGTGCCAAGAAATTCGAGAAATCTCCAAGTGGAATAAAACCCTGAACAATTGATACCTCTAACCCACATTATACCACTCTAAGAACCATTACATCACATCACATTAACATTGATCATTTCATAGTGTTTTCTTGCTACATTAAATATAATGCGAAAAGGCTTCAGTTTTTTGGAATGTGTATTTCTTGGACATCAATTGACATGGAATTGAAATTGGTATCTACTTTTTGCCTTCTGACAAATGTTTCCTTGCAAGAGTCACTCACTAATTAAGCAACAAATAATTTACTAAATGCCATTTTGAATAGTAGCTTAAACAGCACATTTAATTTAAAGTAGATAATTTAGTAGTTGTCATACGCTATACGATCTACCTACAACCTATGAACTCTTTTCACCAATTTCTCTAACTTATTGCCAAAGGCTCTAAATGAGAAATTGTTGATGACTCTATCTCTCCCTGCTTTTCCTAGTCTATTCTTTAGGTCTGGCTCCCGCACGAAACGCTCCAGTGCGGGCGCAAAACTAGCTGCAGACGGTTCGCAAAGAAACCCTGTCTGTTTATGAGCGATGGTTTCCAGCGGACCCCCGCTATTCACCGCTATAACCGGACGATACATGTACATGGCTTCTATAGGGACGATACCAAAGTGTTCGTTTGACGGCGTGTAGAGCAGGCAAGTGCAGCTATCAAGGAGAGTGAGCTTCTGAGCATCGCTGAAGGAACGGATAAAGGTCACATGATCAGTTAGCTTAAGTTCGTCAGCACGTTGGACGAGCTCTTCGTAGTGCTCCAGGTTTTCAGTGACACGTCCGTCGTAGCCTCCTGCCATGACGAGGTGGACGTTCTGCCATTCATCCTCCGACAGCCTGGATTTCAATTCACCTGAGGAAAAGAAGAAATACAAAGCTGTCTTTAAAGGTACTATGTCCCTTTTGCAGCCAACCTCAAATTCTGTAGAACTTTGCAGGAGTTATAAATATGTCATGTATGTCCTATCTGTGAAATTTAAACGTTAGCAGTGTCCTCATATTCAAATTATGCAAGGAAACCCTTGTACTTGCTAGACTTCACTTTCAGACACTATTGAATGACTGACTGGCCTTTTTTCTTCTTTGGTAATAACATACATGAAAAGAGTTGTAAAGGGTACATGAGCATTTGTCTACATCAATAACCCACTTCTTGTGATGGCCAAGATTAAACTTATTGAATCTTTGCACAGCATAAAACGTATGACCATTCAGTACAATTGTCTGAAAATCAAGACTGTTACTTTTGGGCTCTATAGCCCTAAAGTCGATTTGACAACTAATAGTTGTTATTTTCCCACTTGAATACATTTTCAAGCCCCACCTTTTTTAGGGAAGTTCTAAATTAGTATTATCTTTCAAATGCAGATGGAATTTAAATTTTTCCTTTTTTTGGCCTGCAAATGGGACATAGTACCTTTACAAGCCTGACTGCACTAGTTTGGCCAGGGGGGGATTAGACCTCCCTGCAAGATCAGTGACAAATGGTTATCTCATCAAATCAGCTCTCAATTAACATAAGAAAAAGGGGATCGTGGGGACCAACAGGCACTGATTAGGCATTGTTAGCTATATACAGGGCGTAAGCAGCTATAAGTAGTGCAGTGGGGCTTTAAAATGGCCCTACTGTTGCTTCCCATACATAAATTCAACTTCGGTTCAACATCTAACGGGTACAAGCAGATAAAGGAAAGCTCCAATTTCAGACCATTGGTTTTGTGTGCTGTATTTTTTATGGGCATAAATAGGAATTGTTGTGCTAACAAGGCCAACAATATTATGGCTGCTATAAGTGTTTACTATTAACAGGGGGTGTTTCACAAAGACTAAGATTGACTTAAAGTTGGACTTAACTATGGCAGGCCGTTCATGCCACTGTTTGTTCTCAGCATCTATTGGCATCGGTCTCTCAAGGGACGTACAAATCATGGCCCAAATCTACAGAATTTACATTTTTTGATAGTACATTTTTGAAGGAAAAAATATTATCTAAAGGTCATAATGGTGAGATCAAATAGTGGCACGAACGATCGTCCTGCCATAGTTAAGTCAAACTTAAAGTCAATCTTAGTCTTTGTGAAACACCCCCTGGACCTTTATCATTTCCATCATGCTAAACAAAAATTGGAAATAAATGAAAAAACTCACTCACCCATAGCTTCTATCGCCAGTACTAGGTTCTTCTTTCTTTCATAGCGATTGATCGACAGGAAGAGTGTCTTGACCCCTACTGGTATGAGGTCACCAGCAGGCTCTACGCTGGCGTTGAAGGCGCTGAAGTTCAGGGATGGGTAGAGGACATCGGGCTGGACATCCTTGAGGATGGTGAAGGTCTGCTTAAAAGTATCCGCTGTAAGGTCAAAATTTGAACAAGTGTATATTGTTTAATTTCCATTGTTGAAGGTTGGTTGCTTTGTTTGTTTTACCCGACTGCTCAGAAAGCATGTATATGCTTGTCAGTAAACAACCAGGGCAGCGTTTCATGAAACCATCATAAGTACAAGTTCACCGACATCCCATTTAAGGGCGTGTTAAACTTAATACACCCATTTCAATGGGATGTCGCTGAACTTGTACTTATGACGGTTTCGTGAGAAGCTGCCCTAGAGATTGACGGCTTTAAGTCCTTTCCAAGGGACTTGGTAATGAGGATCAATGCCTTACCAAAGGGCACTAGCGCATCATCTTGGTTTTGAACCCGGGTCACCAGATTACGAGACCACTGCTCTACCAACTGAGCTATCACGCCTCCTTCAATGTTGCTTAATTTCCATTGTTAAAGGTTGGTTGCTATGTTTGTGTAGCCTGACTGCTATTAATAAAGCATGTGTATGCTTGTAAGTAAGCAACCAGGAGATTGATGGTTGTAAGTCCTCTCCAAGGGACTTGGTAATGAGGATCAATGCCTAACCAAAGAGCACTGGTGCATCAAATTGGTTTCAAGCCCAGGACCTCCCAGCTACGAGACCACTGATTTACTACTGAGCCATCACACCCAAGATTATTTGTGCTGGAGACTATTAGGATTTAGGAAATGTGTGTTTTATCAAATAAGTATCTAATAGGTTAACCTGTACAATGCCATTGAGTTATGAACCATGTAATGATGAATACAAATTATGGTTTTAAACAAGGTTTAACTAATGGTTCTTGATCTCTTTGTTAATCTTGATAAAATTGGTGTTTCATACAACCTTTAATGTTTATAAGCCCCTTTTAAATTTGTCAAATAGAAGCTTCTCTTCATGCAAATACATTTCATAATACCAGTCTGGTAGAATTTAGGCAGTTATAACTGTCTATGGTACCTAGTCATAGGCGCTGTTCAATTGCTGGCTCTCTAATACCCTGTCTATGCAAAACATTGGAAATCCAGTCTTTTCATCAATTTTGGTTTCTACCAATATGAATTTTGCTGGTACTTCTGTTACCAATCAATAACCACTCATGTGAACAGATCCATTATATGATACTCTTTCTCCCTCCCCCTCCCAATATCCAATTATTATTTTGTACCATTCACTGCCCACAAGAAGGCTGTTGTTTTTGACAATACACAGCATTATTGTTGGCAGTCAACAATATTCTTATCCTACCTTTCTCTTTGGTACCTACTACCTTAGTAAAATGTAGAGGCATAAAAGAAGTGTGCGTAATGCAAAATGCATACCCGGTAGACGCTTGTTAATTAAAAGGTATTATATCTCAGTGAAAGTTTAGGTAACGTTAAGACCATCACACAATCAACTAAAGCTTACAGGAAAGCAAGAAAGAAAAAAAAGCCAACCCCCCCCCCCCCCCCCCCCCCCCCCCCCCCCCCGCCCAGAAAATTAATCACAGAGTCTCACAAAACACACATGGAGAGGAAAAAAGAAGATTGAGAAAAGGAGAGAGAAAGAATAGGTACCTTAACAATAGCCTGACAAAAATGCTTTACTTACCTCAACAAGTCTACCGGTAATTGATTTTTTTTTTTTTTTTTTTTTGAGGAAATAGAGACATTTCTGTTCACACATTGGTCTGGTCCTCTTTTAAATGCTATTAAAACAAAAATACTTACCAGTGAAGTTACTGTTGACCACTATGCAATCAGCCATGCCGGTAGTCTTCTCTTCCAGCCAGTCTATAGGAGTTCGGTACAATTTCTTGAGGAAACTCTGCCGCTTCGTCAGCAACAGATCCGGAAAGTGACAATAAAACAGCACCTATTGCAAATATATGATTTTATAAGTTCCTTTTGGATTCATATTCACAATATATATCAACGATCACACAAAACATTGAAGTCTTAATAAAGCAAAAATAAGTAGGCCTAAATAAGTCATAGACCTAATTCATAAGTCTCCTTATGGCTACATGAATACAGTAGCCTACATCTTTTCACTGCTGAGAATTTATTTCAAAGAAAAGAAATACAGAAACATGATGGACAATTGGACATGTAATAAAATATGCAAAAACTACACCAACAACAAAAAAACAATCAAGATATGAAAGCTTTTTGTTGATTTTATATCAAACTCACTTTGGATCTACCCAGCTTCAGGAACGGAATACAGGCAGAAATCTGATCGCAGATGATGACATCATACGGCTCACGGCTGAACAGGAGTAGATAGAGGGCGACATATATCATCCGGATGTAAGCGCAGAGTGCGTAGCAGGATCCAAAAATATTTCTTGGAAGCCAGTCTCCTGCTGTCACGACCTGAAAAGGTAGTTCATGAAAATGAACAGTTATAAATAGTCTTCACTTCTCTTCTCACATTGAAAAAAACAACAATTGGAATGAAAATCTTCTCATTTGTCATGTCAAAAATGAACAGTCAAAAGTCTGAAGTAAGGGATTAGAGATATTAGATATATATTAAACTGAGCCAGACAAACTAAACGAGAAGACACCCAACTACGAGAAGGAAGAAAATGAAATTGAACTGGAAGCCCGACTGCTGAGAACACAGTTCTTCCGGAATCTCAGGTTAAGCTAGGTAAAGGTAACATGACATAATAATGCCATATATTTTAAACGTCAGTGTAAATACTCTTTCAGTTTAAAGTTTCCACGACACATATGATGAGAGCAACCGACCCGCCCCCCCCCCCCCCCCTCCCTCTCTCTCTCTCTCTCTCTTGATCTATCTCTCCTTTTAGTTTTATTACATTTTCACTTACATAAAAATCAGTATCTGGGACTGATTTCCTCAAAATTCATCAAGTCAAATATTGTTCACTTTACATAATTATTCTTATCACACTCTCTTTCAAAATCCAATTAAAAATTAAACTCTTTGATTACCTCAAGAGTGCCATCACTTGTTTCCTTGAAACAATGAGAGGGGTCGTGATGGGCAGTGTAGATCTTCACAGAATGTCGCCGGGTCTGCAGGGCTAGAGCGGCATCAACGACCAAGCGCTCGGCTCCTCCAATGCCCAAATCAGGATGCAAGAAAATCACCCGCACCATTCTCTCTTTTGTACGAAGCTCAAGCGTTTATAGCACTCAGGACTGATAAAATCCCGTAAAGAGAAACTTATTCTTGCATGTAAATGACAAAAATGGTAGAATCTTTCTGTCACAAAATTAGAAAGCAGTATCGGCATGGGGATAAATTGACCTAGATCAGAATATTCAGCTAGCAGTACAGCTAATGCAGTGATGACGTAGGCGCACGTCGCACGCAAGCAGATTATGCAAAGATCAACGTCGAGTGCTAACTCCTTGGTCCGAGTGAGTGTAATATGAATGAATGAATGAATGACACATAATATCAAGTTGCGAGAAATATTATTTGACTATTAAAGGACATTTTTTGGTTTACAAATTAGTATGCACAGCTCTTCCTTGTCATATGTATTACTTTTAGTTTTTGAAGGTTTATTTAAAAGTGATCATTTAATTTTTACAAGCTAATAATTGTAGAGATCAAAAACCCTATTATTTTAACAGTTACACGATTTCTACAAGAAAGAAAGACGCAGGACGTAAAGAAGAAAAATAAAGAGGAAATAAAGCTACAAAGAAAAAAATAGAAGAAAAAAATGTCTCTCTCTCTCTCCCTCTTCTCTTCGCCTCCTCCCCTCTCTCGATCTCTTTCAGGAGCAGTAAGAAGGATTAAGGCACCAATTAAATCATAAATTACATCGTTCAAAATGGATAATGTCAAGCTCACCTGATGAGTTTCATGAAAAAAGTACTTTCCATACAGAAACGACACCTGTAAAGCACATATAATTCTTTATCAAATGTTTTCGTATTTATTCTTCCACATATATTTCATTAAAAATACATTGCATAAGACACATATGTTTATTTAATAAGAAATATTAAAAGTTCTGTCACAGGTGACACACCTATACACCAGAACCAATATATTTTGTTATGTGATAATTTCTGTAAAATATTCTTAAAACTCTTCAGGTTCTAAGTTGTGCAATCCAAAAAAGTCTTCTGGGCTAGCAGATAGCACCCAATTTATGTTTAACTCTTCTCATTAGAACAGCAATGATCAAAGTTTCTCAAACACAAAAACAAGAGTAACTGAACCTTTGTCTAAAATCATAATTCAGCTAAGATATTTAATCCAAGAGTTTCATTTAGCGAAGAATATTTGGTGACTTAATATTAGATAATCACATATAGTATCTCATGAGAAAAAAAAGCTAAAAATAGTCTTCATGTCATTTGTACTTGAACCAAATGTATGGTTAAAATTATTGATTTTTGCTATATTTTTACTTCATGAAAATAAACCTCTGTATCTGTTTCCCTCACAATGCTATACTTCTGATATTTTCTGAATAAAGTCATACATGTACATGTACAGTTTATTCCATTGTAACACCACACCTGCAACATGAGCGTTTAAAGAACAAAAATATCCACAAACCCTTGTTTTGATTCCTTGAAAAACAAATTTCTGGAAGATGATAAAGCATTCACAACAAAAGAAATAAACTCTCTTAAAAACAATTAGTACATGTATAGGTTTAATATAATCATGTATACAAGAATATTATTTGTGCGCTTCAAATGTAGTACAATTACATGTATTTATCACTGGTGTACTTTAGCTTACTGCATGTTGTACATCTATAAGAATACTATCAATGTATTTACAGTCATTGCACAATAATAGCTTTATTGATTAATTTCATAATGACATCATTGTATTTAATGACACCAAACAAGATCAAACAAGTATTTCTGTTAAGAATAATTAGATGTTATTCAGAAATTGAAGTACATACCTGGTATTTACTTTGATGATTTATTAAAAATAAAGAATTAGCAACATTTTTCCAAAGACAATATTCTGGCAATGAGCTTGGGGTAAGAAAATAAAAATCATTTATACTGGCCATAATACAAGCATGCATGTAAATACTGGTAGATTGAAAACAGCACTGCACTTTGAACGACATTAGAAAACAGGTACTGTTTGTACTTCATAGTCCAAGATGCTTCTCGAATTCTTACGCTTACCATACTCAGGAACAAACTTATTCTAACAAAAGATACAAACCGAGTGAGCAAGTGCCATGATTCACTATCTCCAAGCAAGGTGTTAACAATGATTCTTTCAGAGGCTGACAATAATTACCAGGTGGCATATTTTTTTTACTCATCAATTGCTGAAATATCAGTGTGAAAGCCGAGCTAGATTTATGCATTCATCAACTTTAAATTGGAACAATTGAAGCATACGTAAATATGAGCAACAATAAAAAAAAAAAAAAAAAAAAAAAAAAAAAAAAAAAAAAAAAAAAAAAACATTGTGTATGTATTCTCCTTTTTTTTATTTTCTTGGGACTATAAATACACTGTACCCATTACCCTTGAGTAGCACACAGATAGCCAGAAGCAAATCATTTGATTGGATTTCCCCAATTTGAAGGAAATCCAAGATTATCCAAACTGCATATGGGGTAGATTTACTACTTGTTTGACCATATATGTTATTGCATCACATTATTATTCACATTGATCAGGTATTTATACCTCAGTCACATGGTCACACCAACAAGACTTACATGAGACTGGCATTAAGAGTTGATTTAGTGGTGTGACTGAATATCATTGGGAAAATAATACAGGTATCATACATTATTACTTAAGATTGACTTTAAAATGACACGTGTAGAAATTTTGCAGTAATCAATATAATATCAAACCCACTTGTGTAACACCACCATGAGTATTATACATGTAGATACAGAATACATATTGTTCATTAAAGCAGGGATGCCAGTTAGAATTGATCAGAGGAACTGAAAATCACCTAGAATTAGCTATTTTGTACACAAAAAAGCCTTAACTGTGGTCTGAAAATAACTCGCCAGGGCCTGACTTCAGGCTATTGCCTGAAAACTGGCACCCGTGATTAAAGGAAAACATCCTTGCACATGAGGTTCCACACTGTTCAAGTATTGTCAAAAGAACAAACAGGATGCATGTTCCCAACAGATTCTTCTTCCAACCAAGAAACTCACAATGTCATCGTTCCAACAGTCATCATGTCTGACCCTTTTTCATGAACCCTGCATGACCCCACACATCAGCCTCAAGGTCATCTGAGCAGTGAAGGTCAATGGGGCTGGGGTACGTGGCCGTCTACATAGAAATTCCTAGTCGCTTTCGGGAGCTGCACCACCATGCCGTCCAGCTCTTTGCTTAAAATAATTTGACAACCTGTAACGGGTGAGAGGAAGAAATCAAGGACAACTGACATAAGCTATTAAAGTAAGTACGTTTTCAAGGACAAATACATAAGATTACATTCATTGTTCATGATTTGTCCATTTCACAATTTCTACTTTTCAAGGAGTGCTCCATCCTTTGTTTTCCTATCAAATAGTAGAATATACTGAGCTCTTTTTCACATCCACTCTTCGTAACTCTCTCTCTCTCTCTCTCTCTCTCTCCCTCTCTCTCTTTCTCTCTCTCTCTCTCTCCCTCTCTCTCTTCTCTCTCTCTCTCTCTCTCCCTCTCTCTCTTTCTCTCTCTCTCGCTCTCTCGCTCTCTCTTTCTCATCTCAGCATAATCCACTTTTGTATAGAGGTTCAAATGTAAATTACATTATCATACATTATCATACAATCACTTGCCCATTTGACCATGTCCAAGAACTCTTAAAGACAGGCAAGCAAAAATATAACTTGTCTAGGGCATTTTAACATAATTCCTCAAGTCAAACTAGAGGAATTATAATTTGGGTGGTTGGTATTGGGTTGCAACACTCCAGCATCAATCACCACATATCTTTTTAGTTGTGTATTTGATTCAAAATGTGAAGAAATATTCTACTTGACATAAGCAATTATACTACACTTACTTAATCTTGATGTTGACGTCAGAAAAGGGGCAAGGTCCAACATGTCTTCCTCTCTGAAGAAAAAATAAAATATAAAATAACGTCATATTAACTGCATTACTGTTACCAAGAATACCACCTTAGTCATTTTCTGTTCTCAAGTAGCTTGATTAACAAAATATGTTATTTTGGCATTCAAATATATCATAACAGAACTTTATGTACAACACAAACAAATAAAAACTAAGATTCAACATCTTTTGGACTGTGACGAAATATCAATTAAAAGTTAGATGCTGCTTTTAAGTATCGGCTTGATGGTGATGTAGATATACAGTAGGCTTGCGGGTGCATCATTGGTGCACCCTCCAGCCCACTGTATACAATTTACAGTTGTTCAATGTTGGGATATCTAGAAAAACCAACCAACATTCATATATTTACGCTGGATGAAATATTGGTCTAGGGAAATACCTTATACCTTCTATAGGAAATTTGCCATTTTGTCTTATCAGAACTTATTTATCATAGAACAGAAATAGGGTATATATGGTGTATATTAAAAAAAAGGCAATTGACAATTTGTCTAACACACAAAAGTATGCTATACATTAACAAAAATGTTAACAATAAGAACTCATACATGAAACTGACTTATAAAAGAGAAATTATGTGAACTCACTCTTCTGTTGATTCTGGTAGTATATCATAATATGAATCTTGTAGGACAACATGACAGGTACAACATGCAAGAGAAGCCTCACAAGCACCTGTTAGAAAGCAAAAGAAAAAAGACAATTCAACTTATAAACTAGTGAAGTTATTTGCTCCTCATTCTATTTTACTCTTAGTGTTTTTTCCAAAACCTTTTGAAAACTTTACCCCAAAAGGAACTGAGTATACATTTATATTTTGAAATATTTTGGATGCAAAACTTTTCAATCAAACTATTTTTTCTTTAATTATGTACCCCTTAAACCTTACAAACTACGAATTTTTCATATTGCTTCTAGTCTGACACATGACTAACATTTCTCTTCTTCCCTACATGGCAATATTTGTTTGTTTGATGGAAGGGGGGAGGGGCACAATTTTAAATTTCACTACCTACCATTCCCCTGATAAAAGAATGAAGGTATGAAGGTATAATTGAAAAGAGTGATGGTAAAAATAACAAAAACAGAATATCTGATGATCTAGACACAAAATGTACTGATTCCTAGTTCTCACCCCTCCCCTTTTTCTTCCACCTGCCAGTCTCCTTGTTTCCATGTGACTCTCTCGTTCGTACATGACATTTATTAACCCATTAGCAACTAGACATTTTGTAAAAATGGCCTATTACACACTGGAAGATGTCGCAATATAGCTCTCATTTTGACATTGTTCTGAACAATATGAAACATGCGCTATGTTTCTATGCAGAATCCTACTGGAGACATCGTAAGGACTACGCACATATAACATTATCATGGTAGACCCTAGAATGGATACCATTTACAGTGAGTAAAAGGAGGGGCTGTTTTGGGCGGTTTAGTTGCTAAAGGGTTAACACAAGTCCATTATTCTCAGACTTACAAAGGCACTGTATAATGAACTTACCTTCTACTTCAATAGCATGTCTGTGAGCTAGATACATGACATTGTCACCAACTTTTCCTTTCACTTCTATTCTCTCATCATCTCTCGTCACATAGGTGATGGTTACTCTGGAAGGACAACGGGCAACACAAAAGATGATATTAGTCCAAACAACGTCAATATTCATACAAGTGGGAGTTCATCATCATTCAACTATAACATGATTCGAAATTTCTACATTTTTCTTTCATGATATATAAATATATGTATGCCTTTATACAGTTGGATCAAATAATATGCTCCCTGGACTCATACATTCAATATGACTGCATCAGTTAAACCAAACAAAACTTTTAAACAAACTAAATCATGCTGGAAAATCATTTGAGCTCGACTAAAAAATAAAAATAGATTCAAAATGATGTGGAATTTTAAGAATATTGAAAACTGGCATTTATTTGTTATGTTTATCTTCTGCCACCTTTCAAGTTTCAACACCACCAAAGTGATATTTGATATAAGATTTTTCATCATATACATGAACATACTTTTGACAATTCATAAAAGCAAATGTATTGGCCTTCTCCAAAGGCATTCACAGGCTTAAAAATAACTGAACCAGTGAATATTTTTACAAATATTTTGATTGATATGTAACAAATTCAGCTTTCATTTTGTTGAATAAAAAAAAAAAGACAGGCATTTTGGAAGGCCCACTTTTTTTAATTACATTAATATCTACTCTTAATTAAGCATTGATTGCTTAATATCCTTCACTAACTTACACGTCCTCAGGAGACTTTGGCTCTTCATATTCATAATCACCATGCCTTAGTCCACCAGCTGTGCATTGAAAATAAATAAAAAATAAAGCTTTAATCCATATTAAATGACATTCAAAATAAGAAATATTATTCATTTACATTTTTCAAAAGAAATGTTCACAGGCTCAGCCAATATATGAGTTACACTGTAAGTTAAGTTTGCTGGAGTGTCCCTTTCAAATGTCCAAAGTGTCTAACCCAAACTTAAAAGGCATACATTTAATCATATTTCAACTTTTAATACACTCTAGAGATCAAAATCCTCGCTGCTAAACTAACAACAGCAAGTATAAGTTGAGAGTACGAAAATATGCTAATTACTTCCGAATTTGAAAGTTATCTGACACTGCAAGCTTTCACTCCAGCAAAGCATAGAGAGTCAATGCTAATGCATATTGAGCTTTAGCACTGCACTACGTGTTAATAGGCAGCATTGGAATACATGAATAGTCAATACACTCACAACACACAAATGCACACAATCATGCCGATGCTGCTGATCGATAAGTTTGACAGTAGACTCACAATTTGAATTTATAAAATTATTCTTTCTAACGTCAGTGTCAGAAAGTTGTAAAAATTGTATTTGACCGGTACTGCTATTTAGGTGTCATCAATCGTCACTAACTACCTATTTTTAGTGAAATCAAATGAGTTTTGTACAGTAGTAACAGCCACACATAGGAGCATTACTATCCTGGCTGTGACAGCTGTGCTTTTGATTCTCAACATTTCAAACACCACTGTAAAAAACTCATCTCAAAATCAGTACTTTAGTGACAATTGATGACACCTAAATAGCAGTAAAATACACTTTTTTTTTAACTTACTGATGTTAAAAAGAATAATTTAAAAATTCAGATTGTAAGTCTAGTGTCAAACTTTGCTTACAGCTGCATCGACATGATTGTGTACAGTCTAAAGACCCCTATGCAATATTGTGTGGTGTGTGTGTATTATGTGTGTATTTGTGTATGGGTCTAAAAATACCCGCGTCACAGCAAGCATGCAGTGCTAGAGGTCAATACACGCTTTGGCATTGACTCTCTTAGACAGCAATAACCATCTGATTTGGGTCATTTCTTTAATAAAACTGACATTTGTTGTCATTCCCCAATACAGATGGCAACCCAGAGATCTCGTACCGTGGGGATGGCTATGTACATATTTTCGTCCGCGACATTTTCTCCCCGATTTTCTTTATTTAGATCTAATTTTCTGATTTCTAAATCAGATGTAAATTAGGTCGGTATGTCATTTGTCCTAATTACAGTTATCAAAATTTGATAACTTAATATTAAATACGTAATTTACGGACTTACTTATATGAATTATCCAATTTGTATCTCAGATCCGCGAAGCAGTACGTTCATGCATTCGAAATATTACCCGGCGGCCGATATATTTCCGGGTCCACCTACCAAAACATAGCCAAATGGCCAATCAGAGCTCAGAGCACTCGTTTCGTGGGAGTTCGTTGGTCAAGCTGGGCCGACTCGTAGCGTAGCTACGGTAGCTATTGGACGTTCGAAAAGAAAAAATGAATATTCATCAACTAAAACCAAGACGGATAATGTTGACGACGAGACTTTCTCGGATTAATCATTAATTTAGGATCTAAATGAGCAAGCTATCGTAAGTCAAATAAGCTATATATATGTTATTTTTAATTTGTGTTGTAATTGCAGCAGTTATGAGGATGTAAAGAGTGAAAATCTCGTTGCATATCTCATTCATCGCGGTCCGGTCGAACCGAACCATTTGTTCCGTACAGTGCCTCACAGAAAGAGGTCCCCAGACTTCAGTCTCTATAATCGGAGGTCTAGTGGAGCCAGACGTAGTCTCAGTGGAACAACCGACGATTAGAGAGACTGAAGCTTTCGGTCTATGACTCTCTATGCTTTGCTGGAGTGGTAATAGTGGTGTTTGAAATATTGAGCCCCCCCCCCCCCCCCCCCCCCCCCCTGGATCCGCAACTAACGAGTAGATCTAACAACACCTTTCTGGGAAGTTAAGTTCTTGCTCTCAGTTGAGTTTTGTACAGCGGTGTTTGAAATGAAGAGAATCAATAGCACAGCTTTTAATACACAGTCAGCTCGCGCTCGGATGTAGTAATGCAGCTACATGTATGTTAGGTATGTGTGCAAGTCTCGTCCAACCGTACGGCAATTACTATGGCTGGGACAGGGTGAAAATGATCCATCAGGATTGACACGAAAAAATAAAAATACGTACCAATTGCAGCATGAATATGACGTAAGACAACCGTCGAGTGGGTTATTTTCATGTGATTATTACTGCTAATCGAATGAAAATGATTTGTGAATAATTGTTTGGTGCTCAAGGAGCGTACAACAGTGGGTAAAATATTACGAAATCGGCACACAAGTTGCTTCATGGGCAGCGCCATCTTGAATTATGACATAGAGTCTAATCGACAATGTACATTACATGACGTAGAGTCTATGGTAATTACAACAAAATTAAAATATCTCATAGAGATATATACTTAATAAGTGTTAGTAGCAGGCGCGTACGCAGGGGGGGGGGGGGGGGGGGGGGGGGGGGGGGGGGGGGGGGGGGGGGGGGGGGGGGGGGGGGGGGGGGGGGGGGGGGGGGGGGGGGGGGTGGGTTGGGGGGTAAACCCACCCTTTGGTATTTTTATGTTATTTTCAATTGGGGCAAAACGGAACCCTGTTCCATTTTGCCCCGTACCTATATGGTCCATTTTGCCCCAATGACATATTTTTTAATAAAAGTTTGCGTAGAAAATCCTTGAAGCATAGTTGGCATGCAAACAGGCGAGTCTAACGTTGATATCTTTATGATTAATATATACAAATATTTGATTAGAATCGATACCAAAATTACCAAATTTCAGCCATATGAACACCCCCTTATCTTAGATCATGAGGCTGTAATTTTTTGGATGGGACCTTACTCCGATGGGCTTTCATCGAAAGGGTGCGGTGCGGCGCGGCGCGGTGTGGTGTGCTCAACGCACCCATTCGATAAAAGGCCCCCCGCTTTTCTCGAAAGGGTGCGTTGAGAGCGGAGCACCGTTTTAACACACCCTTTCGATAAAAGCGGGGGGTCTTTTCTCGAAAGGGTGCGTCGACTAGTCTTTCGCATCAGTCGTTTAAAATGAGGATCTAGGACAGAAGGTAATAGTTGCCAATTTAAATATATCGAAAATGTATTAAATAAAATGGAATGGTCTTGATTACAGAGTGTTCTCTTTCGTTATTACTATGTTGATGGGGAGACAGAGAGAAGGAAAAAGGGGAAAGGGAAAGGGAAGATAAAAGGAAAGAAAAAAAAGAAGAAGAAAAGAGGGAAACGGGGGGGGGGGGCGAAGGGCTCTTGGCTCCTCCTCACCCCCCTCCCCCCCCCCCCCCGCCAAAAATTAATGAGAGAGAGAGAGAAGGGAAAGGGAAAGAAAATATAAAAGGAAGAAAGAAGAGGAAGAAGGAAAGAGGGAAACGGGGGAAAAGCGAAAGGCTCTTACCTCCCCCCCCCCCCCCCGCCAATAAAATAAATAGGAGAGAGAGAGAGAGAAGGGAAAGGAAAGAAAATATAAAAGGAAAGAAAGAAAAGAAGAAGGAAAGAGGGAAACAGAGGAAGGGCGAAAGGCTCTTACCTACCCCCCCCCCCCCCCCCCCCCCCCGCAAAAATAAATAAGAGAGAGAGAGAGAGAGAGAAGGGAGAGGGAAAAGAAAATATAAAAGGAAAGAAAGAATAGGAAGAAGAAGAAAAGAGGGAAACGGGAGAAGGGCGGAGGACTCTTGCCTCCTCCCCCCCCCCCCGCCAAAAATAAATAAGAGAGAGAGAGAGAGAGAGATTTGAAAGCGAAAGGGAAAGAGAATATAAAAGGAAAGAAGGAAGAGGAAGAAGAAGAAAAGAAGGAAACGGGGGAAGGGCGGAGGACTCTTGCCTCCCCCCCCCCCGCCCAAAAATAAATCAGAGAGAGAGATTAGAAAGCAAAAGGGAAAGAGATGATAAAAGGAAAGAAAGAAGAGGAAAAAGGAAAGAAGAAAAGAGGGACACGGGGGCGAAGGGCTCTTGCCATCCCCCATCCCCCCCCCCCGCCAAAAATAAATACGAAAGAGAGAGAGAGAGAGAGAGAGAGAAGGGAGAGGGAATAAGAAAATATAAAACGAAAGTAAGAAGAGGAACAAGGAAAAAGGGAAACGGGGGAAGGGCGGAGGACTCTTGCCTCCCCCCTCCCGCCAAAAAATAAATCAGAGAGAGAGAGAAGGGAAAGGGAAAGGGAAAGAGAAGATAAAAGGAAAGAAAGAAGAGGGAAAAGAAGAAACGAGGGACACGGGGGCGAAGGGCTCTTGCCCTCCCCCCCCCCCCCGACAAAAAAATAAATAAGAGAGAGAAGGGAAATGGAAAGGGAAAGATAATATAAAAGGAAATAAAGAAGAGGAAGAAGAATAAAAGAGGGAAACGGGGGAAGGGCGGAGGACACTTGCCTCCCCCTACCCCCTCCCCCCCCCCCCGCCAAAAAATAAATAAGAGAGAGAGAGAGAGAGAGAGAGATTTGAAAGCGAAAGGGAAAGAGAATATAAAAGGAAATAAAGAAGAGGAAGAAGAAGAAAAGAGGGAAACGGGGGAAGGGCGGAGGACTCTTGCCTCCCCCCACCCCCGCCAAAACATTAATCAGAGAGAGAGAGATTGGAAAGCGAAAGGGAAAGAGATGATAAAAGGAAAGAAAGGAGAGGAAAAGGGAAAGAAGAAAAGAGGGACACGGGGGCGAAGGGCTCTTGCCATCCCCCCCCCCGCCAAAAATAAATAAGAGAGAGAGATAGAGAAGGGAGAGGGAATAAGAAAATATAAAAGGAAAGAAAGAAGAGGAAGAAGAAGAAAAGAGGGAAACGGGGGAAGGGCTCTTGCCTTCCCCCTCCCCCCCCCCCACCCCCGCCAAAAATTAATAAGAGAGAGAGAGAGAGAGAGAGAGAAGGGAAAGGAAAGAAAATATAAAAGGAAAGAAAGAAGAGGAAAAAAAGAAAAGAGGGACACGGGAGCGAATGGCTCTTGCCCTCCCCCCCCCCCCGCCAAAAAAATAAATAAGAGAGAGAAGGGAAATGGAAAGGGAAAGATAATATAAAAGGAAATAAAGAAGAGGAAGAAGAATAAAAAGAAAAGAGGGAAACGTGGGCGAAGGGCTCTTGCCTCCTCCCCCCCTCCCCCACCAACAAATAAATAAGAGAGAGAGAGAGAGAAGGGAAAGGGAAAGAAAATATAAAAGGAGAGAAAGAAGAGGAATAAGGAAAGAGGGAAACGGGGGAAGGGCGGAGGACTCTTGCCTCCCCCCCCCCCCCCTCCCGCCAAAAAATAATCAGAGAGAGAGAGAGAAGGGAAAGGGAAAGGGAAAGAGAAGACAAAAGGAAAGAAAGAAGAGGGGAAAGAAGAAAAGAGGGACACGGGGGCGAAGGGCTCTTGCCCTCCCCCCCCCCCCCGCCAAAAAAATAAATAAGAGAGAGAAGGGAAATGGAAAGGGAAAGATAATATAAAAGGAAATAAAGAAGAGGAAGAAGAATAAAAAGAAAAGAGGGAAACGTGGGCGAAGGGCTCTTGCCTCCTCCCCCCTCCCCCGCTAACAAATAAATAGGAGAGAGAGAGAGAGAGAGAGAGAGAGAGAGAAGGGAAAGGGAACGAAAATATAAAAGGAAAGAAAGAAGAAGAAGGAAAGATGGAAACGGGGGAAGGGCGAAGGGCTCTTGCCTCCTCCCCCCCCCGCCAAAAAAAAAATAAGAGAGAGAGAGAGAGAGAGAAGGAAAGGGAAAGAGAAGATAAAAGGAAAGAAAGAAGAGGAAGAAGAATTCGTGTCCTGCCAGTGTCACAAATAGATATAAAAATATGCTCATCTGACGATAATTTGATGTATAAAACCCCTCACCTTCTTGGGGCTCCGCTCCTTGGATCCAACACTAATTTGTGTCCTGCCAGTGTCACAAATAGATATAAAAATATGCTCATCTGACCGTTATTTATTGCCCAAAACTCCTGAGCTTCTGGGGGCTCCGCCCCCTGTACCCAACACCAAATTGTGTCCTGCCACTGTCACAAACAAGGTATAAAATTATGCTCATCCGACGTTAATTTTGATGTTTAATACCCCTGAGCTTCTGAGGGCTCCGCCCTGTGACAAAACGTGTAAAAAAACACGTTAATTTTACCGTTTTGGGGAGATAGGCCCCCCCCCCCTCCCTGGCGTTCTAGGGGGGGGGGGGGTGGTACGATTTTTCAAATTTTCGAGGGCCCCAAAAAAGATTAGTGCTCTCTAGTAATTTCGCGACTACTCCGGAACCGCGGCAGATATAAAGTTTTTCTTTCATGACTTTTTTCTTTCGAGTCTTACGCATCTTTTGAAACATTTTTTTTGTTGAAAATTGGACGTATAGTTGCGGAGTCACGTGACCTTTTGTTTTTGCATGTCAGCCCTAAAATCGCTCATTTTTGTGATTTATGTACCAAACATATGGAAATACCATTTATTCTTTTAAAAAAAGAGAAAACATTGGTTATTTGGTCTTGTTTCAAGTTAATGTGTTTGTTTTTGGGTCAAAATAGTTGAAGTGTGCTTAGAAATGAAATAAAACAATGTAATACATAAATACAAATTATCAAAACAAGAGATAACATGGGGATAAACTGGCTCTTCCAACTTTGTTGTCGTATTATTATTCTAACGAATATATGTAGTGAAAAAGAACCCTTGAATATGAATTATATATGATTTATGGGTAAAAATGTGAATTCTCTGATCTTGTTTGCATAAATTACCATAAATATGCAAATGAGTGAATTTTTCAAAAAAATGAAATTACCATAGTTTTGTATACACTTCACTTGACATGCATGCACATTTTCGCGGCGATCGGCTGTAAAACGGCCGAGATCTAAGAGGGGGACCCCCCCCCCCCACCCTCAAGTCTACTCCAATCACATTGAAAAAAAAGTATGACTTAAATCATCTCTCTCATCATTATACCGCTATAGTATTCATGTTTTCAATATTATTTATTGTCCTTCCATTAAACAAGTTCATAGAAAAAATACTTATCTCTCTGCAACATTAAAAAAGAATCTTCATTAATATGTCTTAATTTGTATTGATAGCCTTGTGGTCGCCAACAGTGGCGTAGGTAGGGGCGTCTCCAAAGGGGGGTGTGGGGTGCGACACCCCCCCCCACCTGTCAGGATATTGTCGGTAAAATTGCGCTGCCGTCGGGAAAAAAAAGAAAAGGGGGAGAGGAAAAAAGAGAGGGAAAGGGAAAGAAAAGAAAAAAAAGAAAAAGAAAAGAAAGAAAGAGAAAAACGAAAAAGAGGGAGAATAGGAAAGAAAGGAAAAAAAGAAAAGAAAGGAGGCAAGAGCCCTTTGCCCCCGTTTCCTTCGTTTCTTCTTCTTCCTCTTCTTTCTTTCCTTTT